CATCTCTTGCCTTCTCAAGCAACCTTAGATCTATCACTGTCTGAGGGCGCAACCAAGGTAGGATAGAAGGAAGAAGAGCTATATATATCATTTTCAACGCCATTCTATCTGCCCCCCACTCCATTCCTGACAAGCAGCGCATCACATTCAATATTTTCTTTCCTTTGACAACTACTCTGTTAATATGCTCCGCCCATGTCAATCGAGCGTCAAACCAGACGCCCAGGAACCTAAACCCTCCCACCCTCTCCAGATTCCTTCCATACAACTTCAAGTATATTTCCTCCCCAACCTTCCCTCTAGAAAAAAACACAATCTGTGTTTTCTCATCTGAAAACTTGAAGCCCCACCTGAGGGACCACTGCTCAACTTCAGTTATCGCTTCTTGAACTCTTCTGGCAGTATGGGTAATATTTCTCCCTCTCTTCCACAGTGCCCCATCATCCGCAAACAATGACCTCCCAATATCAGGTCTCACCTGGGAGAATACATCTTCAATCATAATGGAGAACAACAAAGGACTAATGACACTTCCCTGGGGGGTACCATTATCTACCTCATAGCCTTCTGACATTGAGCTACCTGCCTTCACTTGTATTGATTGCCCAAAAAGAAAATCCTTTATCCAGTTAAAAACCCTTCCTCCAACCCCCATGTTATCCAGCTTGATAAGTAGGCCTTCCTCCCACTACATATCATAGGCCTTCTCTACATCAAAGAAAACGGCTACCACCACCTCCTTATTTGCCTGTGCCTTCCGTATGACTCAAGGCACAGTACAGGATCCATCGTTCCCCTGCCTTTCCTGAACCCACTTTGATCTGGTGACATTAGTCCTCTACTCTCCAGAAAGTATGTCAGCCTTTCCGTTATCATTCTTTCCATAAGTTTACATACGTGAGATGTCAACGCTATCGGCCTATAGCTTGAAGGACTAGTAGGTTCTTTCCCTGGTTTCTGTATTAATAATAATAATAATAATAATAATATGCCATTTAGCAGACGCTTTTATCCAAAGCGACTTACAGTCATGCGTGCATACATTTTTGTGTATGGGTGGTCCCGGGGATCGAATTGACACCACTACCGCCTGCTTCCAACTTCCAGGCAGTTTCCCTTCCTGTCACACCTTATTGTAAAGGCCCAATACTTTCCCCACTGCAGTGTCATTGAGATGAGTCATCATGATGTAACACATCTCATCCTTCCCAGGAGATGTTACCCCAGCTTTAGCTAAAGCTCTCTTCATCTCAGCCAACGTAAAAGGGCCATTCAATGTATCCCCCACCATCTCTCTCTGATCCAGGACCCAGGATGTTCTCCTCTGACCCTCTCTCTCCCACACTGCCCCTCTTCTGTCAGATTATTTGAGCTGTGCACCTTCACAAATGCCTGGGCTAACATCTCAGTCTTCTCCATATTTCTCACTGCAACAATCTCCCCACTTTTCAGCACAGGGAGATCCCAATCTCTTTTGACCCCACTCATCCTCTTAATCATCCCCCATACCTCTCCCACAGGAGTGGTCCTGCCTATGTTTCCACAGAGCCGGCGCCAAATACTCCCTCTTAGCTGTCCTAATGATCCTCCTTACTACTGCTTGTACTTGTTTATACTGTATCAGGTGCTGGTACTTATGGGACCTTTTTAACATCTGAAAGTCATGTTCCTACTCCCCCCTGTACCCATAGGAATCACCTGCCTTGCTCGTTCTCCCCCCTGTACCTATAGGAATCACCTGCCTTGCTCCTTCTCCCCCCTGTCCCATAGGAATCACCTGCCTTGCTCCTTCTCCCCCCTGTACCCATAGGAATCACCTGCCTTGCTCCTTCTCCCCCCTGTACCCATAGGAATCACCTGCCTTGCTCCTTCTCCCCCCTGTACCCATAGGAATCACCTGCCTTCCTCTTTCTCCTCCCTGTACCCATAGGAATCACCTGCCTTGCGACCCCTACTATTGCTCCTCTTATTCCATCATTGACTGTTTCTATATCTGAATGAAGATCAACCTGAGACGGCTCCTGTTCACTCAACTCCTGAAACTGACCCCACTCCCTCAATCCTACAGTACACATGACAGGATAGTGATCACTACCCACTGTAGATTCCTCCAAAACCTCCCAACTACATCTGCCTGCCATTTAACTTGAGTTCAAAGTTACTGGGTCAATCCTGGTTCCACGCCGTCATTAAGACTCACAAGCCCTTTCTCATCCGTATTCCTCCAACACTTGTCCATTTAACATCAGTCCGTAACCTTCCCCAGAGCGTACTATGAGCATTAAAATCCCCACACCACATTACCCGTCTCTTATCTTGAAATTCTAGATTCCCTAAGGGGCAGCAACTCTAGTCTCTTACACAGCTTGTAAAAATTCACTATTACCATATTCCCCCCTCCCAACCACTACATACTCCTGTTCAACTCCCTCTCCCACAAGCCTATATGGGATCCCCCGCATTATAAAGGTAGCACACCCTCCTCCTCCCCCTCCTCCCCTATCACTACGGACTGCAACATAACCTTGTAATACAACATCTAGAGTTGGTTTAAGCCATGTCTCCTGGAGACATATCACATCAGGTTTGGCTGGTAACTCCTCAAGAACCTGTTTGAAACTCTTGCCCATTAGCCTCAACTTCTGGCATTCCATTGAAGGATAATGCCACATGCAAATTAACCAATACATGATTCCTGCTGGACTGATTCTCAATCTTATTGAGGTCGTCCTGTACATTTTCCCATGTCAGTCCTGTGATCCCAAGATACCTCACTGCCTGCTCCACTATGATCTGTATCTTCTTAGTCTTTGATTGTAATTTGTCTGTGCAATTGATTGCTGCTGTCACAAATGTAACAACCTTCCTCATGTCTCCTACCAGTCTTGTGTTCTCCCCCATTCTGCTCCCTCCATCACGCCCAACCTGCATCTCAATCTGCCCTGGAATACCTGCTCTTCTAGGTGCCCCGCTTGTTTCTGTGTGAACTACCTTCACTGCTTCTGCATACGAGATGTTACGCTCATTCCTCACCTGCTGCGCTTCCACCTGTCTTTTCATCACTGAACAGCACTTTAACTGGGCCCGTCTCCACATTCCCCATATGCATGTTCTCCCCCACACTTTGCACATCTCCTTTTGCCTTTACACACCACAGCCACATGCCCAAACCTTTGACAGTTACAGCAACGCAATGGTTTCGGAACATATGCTCGCACATAGTAACTCATATACCCAATCCTACATTTTCCTGGCAATACCAGATCCTCAAAGTTTAGTAGCACTGTCAAGCTATCCACCTTCTTCCCATCTCGTGTCATCTGGAGGCACTTTGCCTCAATAAGAGAGCCTCCCTTCAAGTGGTCCTTTATTTCTTGCATGTTAACAATTTCTGGAACTCCTGTAATAACTCCCGTCACCCACTCCCATCCAGTTTGATCTGGCATGCTGCTATCAACCACACGTTTACATACCTGCTTGAGTTTGAGCGCCTTCTCACACTGTTTAGCATTAAAACACAAAACACAACACCACCAAACTTCCATCACGAAGAACTTTAGCAGACACAACCTCTCCTACTTTACTCTCCAAATCCCTAGTCAACGTGATCGGACTCACCGCCATGACTCCACTTTGATCCTTAAATTTCACCAACACCTTGAACTCCACTTCTCTCAGTACAACACTGTGAACCGAACCACCCTCATCACTACTCTCCTCTGACAAGACCTGCAAAGGCTCCTCAGGCTTCCTCTTCTTCTTAACCTTTACTCTTACTACACTGCCACCTTTTTCCACTCCACTCCATCCCGTCCTCCTCAACTCCTAACCCCCCTACCTTTCTATCCATCTCTGCTCCAGTCACAGCCCAGTGTTGCTCAACCACCTCCACCAGATTTCTTCCAGTTTCGTCAATATCTACTCACTCTTTGCAACTGAATGACAATGATTTTCTTAGCACCCCGTTCCGAAACCTCCCGGTCTCCTTTTAGTCTTTCAGACTTCCCGGCCAGCACCAGGATACAGCTCAACAATAGTGGTGGAAGTTAGACAATATCATTGGCTATTGCATCAACAGGTACCGTAGGCCTAAAGGAACATGAGACAAAAGCCGAATCCTGGTTATTAATACAGCTTTATTGAATGACGGCAGATTTAACAACGGTTCATTGAGAACTTGACTACATATTCCGAACACATGGACATTGCTCATCATCAAACCTTGACTACCTTTTTAAGATTGTGCCAGATGATTACCCTATGCCAATAAAATACTCCAGTGGTCTGCCTATTCTCTAATCCAAACCAAGCAAATAAACACACGACACAAGTAAAAAAAATAAAAAATCATTTCCCTGGTTTTAACGCATCATCATTGACTCTTGAGTTCTAATAGAACCCTTGATTATGACCATTATAAGCACTAAAACACAAACTATTTCAATCATTCTGCCCGATTGTACAGCGGTCTTCATCCATCAGCGTTCCAGTGCATTATGAAATCATATAACAATGTAACTGGTGTCTACCAAAGACCTATCTCCCCAAATAGCAAACATCAATCTCCTCCACTTTGAAAACATCCTCGCAGACAGCCACAGAGTTCAGAGTGACACCAAGGATGTGCACCTGTCACAGTGGCTTCAAGGCCACCCGCAAGAAATCCAGTTGCTCTCATTTTAATGTTGGTCTAAAAATAAAGCAACAACGAGTCAACAGCCGTACTCCATTTCCCTCCAATATCCTGTGAGCTTATCTTTTATATAATACATTGATGGTTTTCAGTAAGTCCATGTTGTGTTGCTTTGGCGGTGTTTCAACGGGTTGGCATGCAAGGCTCAGTCTCACGGCAACCGCTCTAAGACCGCTCTGTTCTGTTTCCAGTCCAGCTTCTGATCCATCCGACAGTCGAGGGTTTAAAAAGAGGGAGAGGACCCAGCGAGTGTGTGCGCGTGTGGGTGTGTGGTGGCGGGGAGGGTCAGGGGTTGGTGTTTGGGGGTTCAGGACTCCTCCATGTCGGCTGGGGGGGAGGGTGAGGTGGGGGAGGACGCCTCTGGCTCACCGTCTAGTCCCATCTTTGACCCTGGAAGAGTTCACAAAATAGGTCTTGGTGTTAAAAATACACTTTCACCCAATTGCTAGTATTGGGACAAAGATCAGTTTGCAGTTGTACTCTCTTTGTGGCACCATTTGAAAATGACAAATAAAACATACATATGAAACAAATGAATACATCAATAGTCCCCTGTAGCTCAGTTGGAAGAGCATGGCGCTTGCAACGCCAGGGTTGTGGGTTCGTTTCCCACGGGGGGCCAGTATGAAAATGTATGCACTCACTAACTGTAAGTCACCCTGGATAAGAGCGTCTGCTAAATGACTAAAATGTAAAAATGTAAATCAAATTCTGAAAACAAAGAAATTAGTTCTAACCAACTACTAAGGCCTTTTACAACAAAAGAGGATATGGGAGGACATAAGCTCTGTGCTGTCCTTTAGTGGCAGACCTACAGTACCAGTCAAAAGTTTGGACACACCTACTCATTCAAGGGTTTTTCTTTATTTTTACTATTTTCTATATTGTAGAATAATAGTGAAGTCATCAACACTATGAAATAACACATATGGAATCATGTAGTAACCAACAAAGTGTTAAACAAATCAAAATATATTTTATATTTGAGATTCTTCAAATAGCCACCCTTTGCCATGATGACAGCTTTGCACACTCTTGGCTTTAGTGGCAGACCTGTATGTCTGACGTCTGGGGAGTAGCAACAAATGAGGATATGGGAGGACATGAGCTCTGTGCTGTCCTTTAGTGGCAGACCTATGGAGTAGCAGAATGAGCAGAAACAAACAAGGAGGCTTAGGACCCAAACAAGCAAAAGCCGATGGCGCACCCAGCCACATCCACTCATTTGGGCCAGGCAGGCTCTGTGTGTGTGCAGGAACACAAGGGCAGGGAAACAGGCCGGTCAGTCTAACTGACCAAGTACAAAGGAGTCAAAAGAACCGCTGCAGATCTACAGGTAACTGCCAAAATAATGGAAACACTTGAGTAAATGAAGGATACAAAGTATATTGAAAAGAGGTGCTTCCACAACAGAGGAGGCTGGTGGGAGGAGCTATTGGAGGACGGGCTCATTGTAATAGCTGGAATGGTGTTAATGGAACAGAGTCAATATGTTTGATACCGTTCCATCAATTTCAATCCAGCCATTACAATGAGGCCGTCCTCCTATAGCTCCACCCACCAGACTCCACAAAGGTGTGGTTCCTCAGTTAATTAAGCAATAAACATCCCATCATGCTTAGGGGTCATGTTTACAACATAAAATCAGGGTTTGTTGAATGGTGGAATGGTTATATGGCTACAGAGTGAGCATGCCCCATGAATATGACCGCATGCAGGAGAGTTACATGATACACCGACCTTAGCGGGGCCAGCATCCTGTAACTAACACACACACAGAGAAAGATGAGCAACGGACATAGAAGGGGTTCTAAAATACAATCCGGAGCACCGGATTGAGAACTCAGTTATGATCAGTTGATCTACCATCCACATCATTAGACAATTATAGGTTACATCATGATTATTAAAAGGTTGACTGAAAACCAGCATAAACAAAAAGGGTCATTTAGGACAGAACTATTTACTACTTTAAAAAAGGGGCAATCTATACTGAACAAAAATATAAACGCAACAAGTAAAGTGTTGGTCCCATGTTTCATGAGCTGAAATAAAAGATCCCAGAAATGTTCCATACGCACAAAAAGCTTATTTATTTCAAATTTTGTGCACAAATTTGTTTACATCCCCGTTAGTGAGCATTTCTCCTTTGCCAAGATAATCCATCCACCTGACAGGTGTGGCATATCAAGAAGCTGAATAAACAGCATGATCATTACACAGGTGCACCTTGTGCTGGGGACAATAAAAGGCCACTTGAAAATGTGCAGTTGTCTCAAGTTTGAGGGAGCGTGCAATTGGCATGCTGACTGCAGCAATGTCCACCAGAGCTGTTGCAGGACAATTTAATGTTAATTTCTCCACCATAAGCCATCTCCAACGTCGTTTTAGAGAATTTGCAGCCTCACAACTGCAGACCACGTGTAACCACGCCAGCCCAGGACTTCCACATCTGGCTTCTTCACCTGCGGGGTCGTCTGAGACCAGCACATCCAAAGAATTTCTCCACAAACTGTCAGAAACCATCTCAGGGAAGCTCATCTGTGTGCTCGTCATCCTCACCAGGGTCTTGACCTGACTGTAGTTTGGCGTCGTAACAGACTTCAGTGGGCAAATGCACACCTTCGATGGCTGGAGAAGTGTGCTCTTCACGGATAAATCCCGGTTTCAACTGTACCGGGCAGATGGCGTTGTATGGGCGAGTGGTTTGCGGATGTCAACGTTGTGAACAGAGTGCCCCATGGTGGCAGTGGGGTTATGGTATGGGCAGGCATAAGCTACGGACAACAAACACAATTGCATTTTATCGATGGCAATTTGAACGCACAGAGATACCGTGATGAGATCCTGAGGCCCATTGTCGTGCAATTTATCCACCACAATCACCTCATGTTTCAGCATGATAATGCACGGCCCCATGTCGCAAGGATCTGTACACAATTCCTGGAAGCTGAAAATGTCCCAGTTCTTCCAGAGCCTGCATACTCACCAGACATGTCACCTATTGAGCACGGGATGCTCTGGATCAACGTGTACGACACAGTGTTCCAGTTCTCGCCAATATCCAGCAACTTCGCACAGACATTGAAGAGGAGTGGGACAACATTCCACAGGCCACAATCAACAGCTTGATCAACTCTATGTGAAGGAGATGTGTGACCACCATTTGGCTCATGCAGCGTGACACCAGATACTGACTGATTTTCTGATCCACACCGCTACTGTTTTTTAAAGGTATCTGTGACCAACAGATGCATATCTGTATTCCCAGTCATGTAAAATCCATAGATTAGGGCCTAATGAAATTATTTCAATTGACTGATTTCCTTATATGAACTGTAACTCAGTAAAATCTTTGAAATGGTTGCATGTTGCGTTTATATTTTTATTCACTGTAAGTTTGGTACATGCATCAATTTCTGAACTTTTGAAGATATATAGCCATTTGTAATGGTCATATTTAAGATGAATAAAGTTCATATTACCACAATACTTTGCATATTTATATGTTCTCCCTTTATGTAATACACATGATTTTTAGTATTCTATTTGGGACACTCATTGTGTATGGTCACTAGACTTGATACTGAATGTTATGGATTGCGCTCATATCTGTTGATAGTGATTGATGCCAGACTGGAGGTACAAGGACCGATGACACTGGTTGTTATTGTATTCTGTGATTCTGTAGCAACTGAAGCGGTGACTTCCTACAAGCCTCTCGGCGGGTGTTCACAGAACATTGGTGCTGTGAGATTAGAACATAAGGGCCTACTTAGAGAAGGCCAGTTAGAAATGTTCTATGCTGGAGGTTATCTCCCTGTTGCAACTTCTATTAAACCGGATTGATTTGATCAATGACTGCTCACCTTCTGGTTTCCATGGAAATTCTCTATTACACCAACGACTCTTGAAGAATAGAACTTCTAAATGCCTCATGAGCTTAGTTACTGAGGTTTAGAACCGCTGGTAAAGACAATGGAAGGAGTGGGAGTGAGTCTAATAAAATCAGGAGGAGGACAGGACACCCACGTGCACAGTGCACCTAAACAACCACAGTGACAGACATGCAGTGAGATGACAGAATGGAACATTTTCTATTTCAAGTCCTGTCTTTCTGTGGAAATTTGGGGAAGAATACCTGTCACTGTGCTATCTAGAACTTTACTAGAAGGTGTATGATAAAAGAGTTAGATATCTTCTATGTGTGGAGCAGTACCTGATTTCCGGACTGTTCTGGGCGTGTTGTTGGCCCCACCCCCTTCCCCGGTCTTCTTGCTCAGCAGACTGTTGAAGAAGTTAGCCAGCACGCCCTCGCTGGTCTGCCCGCCTAATGGCACAGCGAAAAACAAAAAGAGACAAAACACCACAGTTACTAAGTGAACAAGCAAGGTTGGCAGGTATTGTTTAAAAATAATAATAATAATAATAATAATAATAATAATAACAGTTAGGCTAACGGTTTCATTCCCTATGTACAAAATATAGGTGCAAACTTAGCACTGGTGCCAAAGCTAATCTTAGTCATTTTAGCAGAATGAGTTATCTGGGATCTATGGTCTTGGTACCTGGTTGCATGGGCATCACATTGGCCATGTTTGCTGTTGCCGAGCGGTTTGACACCCGAGGAGAGCCAGTGGGTGCTCTGTTTGTGGTGTCCTGAGAGGAAGAGGGGGAGGAATGATACAGGAAAGGTAGAGAGAAGAGGAGAGAGGATGAGGAGAAGGGAGGGGAGAGAAAGAGAAGAGACAGGAAAGGAAGGAGGAGGAGAGGATCATGTATTGCATATATCAGAAGATCTACATGAACTCTTCTTTTGGTCCTTTACAGTAGCATGTTTCCCCAGACACTTACCACTGGTCTGCCTGCCGCCGCTGGGGGCTGCTTGGACAACAGGGTCTGTTAAACAACAACACAGAGCATGTCAGTGTGACAGTCCAGATAGAGTCTGACGCCCTTAACACAACTAACCTAATTCATATGGCAAATGGCAGAAATAAACTGTTATAACAGCTGATGTCAGATTAGCGTCATGCAATATTATCAAAGTCATGTTTTGGGTCATACCAGCTGTATCAATATATACTGTACATTCTCACTTACCTGAAGCTTTAGGAGAAACACTTGGTCATCCTCCGCACCTAGTTCCTTTTCATGTACAAACTGCACAAAAAAAACAAAAACATCATAAACAAACATACCTATATACCGTTTCTCCACAAAATGACCTGCAAGTCATCCTAATGTGTTAGTTTAGTGTACATCCGATTAAGTACATATTTGTTTGGCCTTGGGTTTTGGCACTGTAATCTGAGTACAGGCAGGCTCATCCTGGTAATCTGATGTTATTTGAGATTATGGTACTCATCCCGGAGCCCAGTAAAGTCCAGAGGAGAGGACTGGAGAGAGAGCAAAACACCCAGAATCCCCCAATCCACCCAGACACAGCACCAACCCTGCATGCCAGTAGTAACCTCTGACCCTGATCAGGGCTAAGGAGTTTAGATTCATTCAGTCAAGTTCAATCAACTCCAAGATCCTACTCCTAGAGTGTAGGGTTAGTTAAAAGGTCTTTTAAAATGACACTTGTTTCTAAAACGTAATGTCAGTGGCAAGAAGAAGGAGGAGATCTGGGAGTTCTATTACCTTTCTAACAGGAGGCTGGACGATAACCTCCTCAAACTTGTCTTCCCTTTTCAACGACTGAAAGGTTTCATATAAAATGGCGACCTTTTTTTCATTATCCCATCCTGATGGGCTGGAAGACAACAAACCACGAAAAGCATGAAAAAACTAAATAACTAAAAATGTCAGTGTCACCAGCACATGAGAAAAAAGGCTAAATGTTTCATTAGTGAGAACACAGAGTCACACTTACATGAATACTGAGTCTTTCTCCACCACCTGGGCCAGCATGTCAAAGGGAAACCCGTATAATCTATGGACCAGGTATTTATACAATAGGTCTATGTTCTTGTTCTCCTTCATTGACGTGTATAGCAGCGCAGCGCCATCTGAGAGGCCACTACTTGTCAAGGATAGTATTATTGATAGAATGGCCAACGATATCTTAAAGACCCCTCTAATACCTAGCTAAGAAAGACCGTGCTCACTTCACACAAGAAAAACCTGAAACTGGTGCCTGCACATTGTTAGTACATCGAAGAAAAACATGAAAATGTATTAGTTTGAAAGAATAACGCCAGCGGAATGCCAACTCTTAGGTCAGACAACCAGTCGGTGAGTCGGAAGGATACACTGCAAGCAGAAGTGTCGGATGTGAGACTGGATGAAGTCAAAGTGTTCTTCCCGGTAGTCATGCTCTTTCTCTAGACTGACAAACGTGTCACACTGCAGAGGAGGAGGGAAGTGGAGAGAGGGAAAGAGAATACTGAGAGAGAGAAAGGGTAAGCCACACAAGACAAGATTGAAAAAGAGATTGAAAGCAGAGGAAATTAGAAATAGTGTAAAACACAATGACAGATTTTCCATCCTTTATACACATGTATGAATAAAGAAACCATACCAATGACACTGAAAGTATATTTTGATAAGTTGAGTTAAATGAAGTTGCCTTGTTCTTTCCCTAATGCCAGATGGTTTGCCCACCCTACCTTTGTGCACACCACCATAACAGGCACGCCCAGGTTGTGTGTGAGTGTCTCCTCTCCCAAAGGGAGGACCACACACTCCTCCTCAGCCTCCCCAGCCATGGGGTTCCTCCTCTTGGGAGAGGCGCTGTGGTCTCCCCCTGGCTCTGTGTACTCCTGGAACTGTCGGACCACTAGCGGTAGAGGAGAGGGAGGAAGAGATTCCATTTTAGACTGCTATTTTACCCTTTTTCATTCAAACCCAGAACAATTCATCTCGATTAACTTTATAGTTTACATCTCATGGCTAATCAAAGTTTTAAAGAAATACTGTTGAAGTAGCCATTTCTGTCTTTAATGTTATGAAGTAAGAATGTCTGTGTCTGTCTCCCCACCCCCCTCCATCTCGCAGATTCATAGACGTACATCTCTGTTCCATGTCCCTCAGTGTCTCTGGGTTGACTCGGAGCTTGTCGATGTGTTCTCGCAGCACGCTGGCCCACTTCTGCAGAGAGTCCAGCACCGTCCACGGTCTGGACATGTCCACTACCAGCAGGGCCATAGTGTCGGCCAGGTTCTCCCCACACACAGCAAACTTCTGGAGGCCTTTGTGATACAGGTCACCGTCCAGAATCCATGCGTTACACATAGCATGATCTGCACAGACACACAAACAGTTTGGGGTCAAATCACACCAAAAAGGAGAAATCGTACCATGCTATCCTATTGATCACCAGTGATCCATCATAAACTGATGCCCGAGCTATATCATGAACTAAAACAAACCTTTGTTTTCTCATCATGTTCCAAAAAGCCACACTTACCATCGATGTCATCATCGTGAACGTTAAAGTACAGGTACTCCAGTCCTCTGCCTTTCATGTATTCTTCAACTCCCTGCAGTTTGGCTATCAGAGTGGTCTTACCTGCCCCCGTCTCACCTGCAGCAAACATGAAACACATACGTTCAGGTAAACTGCATGCTAAGCGAAATTATTAAAACACGTTATAGCCTACTGCAGGCTCCATTAGGCCTTTAGGTCGGTTGCCTGCGGTGGCCAGTGCTCTAGGCCTATACAATTATCTATGATCTTGCATCAATGCAGCTTTAGCTCACAAAATGAGTTAGGCCTATATGCAGGGCAACTACAGTGCCTTCAGAAAATATTCACACCCCTTGACCTTTTTCCATATTTTGTTGTGTTACAAAGTGGGATTAAAATGGATGTAATTGTCATTTTTTGTAAACGATTTACACAAAATACTCTAATGTCAAAGTGGAAGAAAAATTCTAACATTTGTAAAAAAAATATATATAAAAGCAAAAGTATTCAACCCCGAGTCAATACATGTTAGAATCACCTTTGGTAGCGCTTTGCACATCTGGATTGTACAACATTTGCACATTACTATTAAAAAAATTCTTCAAGCTCTGTCAAGTTGGTTGTTGATCATTGCTAGACAGCCATTTTCAAGTCTCGCCATAGACTTTCAAGCCGATTTAAGTCAAAACTGTAACCATGCCACTCAGGAACATTCAATGTCAAGCAACTCCAGTGTTTATTTGGTCTTGTTTTTTACGTTATTGTCCTGCTGAAAGGTGACCGTCTCCCAGTGTTTGTTGGAAAGCAGACTGAACCAGGTTTTCCTCTAGGATTTTGCCTGTGCTTAGCTCCACTCCGTTTCTTTTTATCATAAAAAAATAAAAAACTCCCTAGTCCTTGCCAATGACAAGCATACCCATAACATGATGCAGTCACCATTATGCTTGAAAATATGAAGTGGTACTCAGAGATGTGTTGTATTGGATTTGCCCCAAACATAACGCTTTGTATTCAGGACATAAAGTTACTCTTTTTTTTATTATGCACTCACTAACTGTAAGTCGCTCTGGATAAGAGCGTCTGCTAAAAATGACTAAAAAAAATATTTGTATTCTGTACAGGCTCCTTTTTTTCCCCACTGTCAATTAGGTTAGTATTGTGGAGTAACTACAATGTTGTTGATTCATCCTCAGTTTTCTATCACAGCCATTAAACTCTGTAACTGTTTTAAAGTCACCATTGGCCTCATGGTGAAATCCCTGAGCGGTTTCCATGACAACTTCCTTCACAACAGCACTGTGCTGCTCAGCGAAGCTCAAGAAGTATGAATGCCCTGACATCTGCAGAGGCCGTGTCAGTAAATACTGCACGGCCAATGCAGAAGTCAGAATGACCATGCAGCACCTTCCATTCAGGCTCCTCCGGCTCCAGAGACGTGCTCCGACCCCCAACTGTCTGTCATATGCGCGCAGGAAAATAGATCATGAGCATAGAGAAGATACATGTTTAGAACTGATAATTGATCATATGGTGCAAGAATGACTGCAATTAATTGATTATTTAATGTTATGCTGGACACAGCTTTGTAGAACCAAAACATGCACAGCCTCTGCTCAACAAACTCGAGAACGATTTGTTTAGTCGGCTGCAGTTCGTGAACGACTGAACTCTCACGACAGTCAAGCAATGCATTCCGCCAAGAGTTGTTCACAATCTAGTCCGGTAGCAACCACAGCTAGAAGGACCTTGTTTCAAATGTATCAAGAAATACATTTAATTTGTATGCCTAGCAATCAACAAATGTACATTGTTTAAAGCACACGTTTACAAGTCTCAGTCACAAATGACAGCTCCAATAAGCCCCCTACTGTGAACGACAGTTTTCAGTTCATCGTTCGTCGGTAGGAGGTCCTGTGTGCTCTGGGCATTAAAGGTGCGGCATGGTCATTCCGACGTCTGCATTGGCCGTGCAGCATTTACGGTGACATGTCCTCTGCAGAAGTCAGGGCATTCATACATCAGCGCAGAGCTGTTGTGAAGGAAGTTATCAAGGAAGTGAGTTTGTGTTTACACAGGACCTCCCGCCCTCCCGCCCTCACCTACCGTCAACCAATCATGTAATGCAGAGCTATACGGAACCCTCCACATTGTTACAACATTTGAGAGGCGCACAGCGATGCAGTATGGAGCTCATTTGGCCTCTGCGTGCCTCCGCAATTGCATCACACCATCCATACGGTGCCACTGACCACATTTCCGGAGCAAGCATAATTTGGCTCTTACTGACCCAAATGAACGGAATGAGTCAAAAGATTTGTTCTTTTGACTGAACAAGTTAGGAAGGATGCCTGTATCTTTGTAGTGACTGGGTGTATTGATACATCATCCAAAGTGTAATTAATAACTTCACCATGCTCAAAGGGAAATTCAATGTCTGCTTTTGGAATTGGAAAACCTCCCTGGTCTTTGTGGTTGAAATTCACTGCTCGACTGAGGGATAATTGTATGTGTGGGGAACTGAGATGAGGTAGTCATTCAAAAATCATGTTAAAAACACTTCGCACACAGAGTGAGTCCATGCAACTTATGTGACTTGTTAAACACATTTTTACTCCTAAACTTGACTCAAGACATTTCAGCTTTTCATTTGTAATACATTTCAAAAAACATAATTCCACTTTTACATTATGGGGTATTGTGTGTAGGCCAGTGACAAAATAATATCAATTTAATCTATTTTCAAGGAGTGTGAATACTTTCTGAAGGCACTGTATACCACTATTCGACCAGATAAGAAATATATGTAATCTAATTTGCTTGTTGAGGGATTTCTCTTACGGATTAAACTAGCAGGTGTTGAATATCATCACTCTTTCAATGTGATCTGATCAGATCAGATCTGACCTTCTGCAGAAATTGCCATTTTCAGTCGTCTATGAAACACTGTCCATATTTTGTTGGACAATAGGCCGCGCTGTTACGAATGCATTTAACAATAGCCTGCCATGATTAGGTTAATCATCAATTGTTTCTCAAACCTCGCAACAATGGTCCAATACTGGCAGTTATTTACATTATAATGGAATACAGAACGCGTGGTGAGAGGCACTCCTTGTCTAGCATTCCGCACTCTGGAGTAGCTGAGAGAGCAGGTGGTCCATCCCGTGTCAATATTACACATTGCAAGCAGAAAATTAAATAGGCTTACCCATAATAAGAACATTTTTCCCAGACGGCAATTTTGACCGTGAACGCGTCGATACCTCACTCAAAATAGAGGACCTGCAAGACACAATGACATCAGACAAATACCAAGCACCCGTATCCCTGCCATTCAATCTGATGCGCTACTCCCTAGAACCAGATTTTTCAAAACCTAAAACCATTCAAAGGGGCTCTGACAGGCGAGCTAGGTCTTTCTAAAAGCCATATTATTGTACAGTTCAGGGCCGATACTCACCATAAATTCTGGCCATCCTCCTCCTCGCTGGTTTGATTTTCTATTGAATTTAGTGTATTTGCAGTTGACGTAATTCTCATTGCCGAAGCCATCTTCTATCAGCCTTGAATGGATCAGGTGCCCGGATGTTTGAATTTCCATAATAGAGGGCACGTTCCAGATCACCTAATTTATAAGCGCTGCGGTCACGGCAAGTTCAAATTTGAAGCAAATCAAATCAAATCAAAATGTATTTGTCACATACACGTGTTTAGCAGATGTTATTGCGGGTGTAGCGAAATGCTTGTGCTTCTAGCTCCGACAGTGCAGTAATATCTAACAAGTAATATCTAACAATTTCACAACATATACCCAATACACACAAATCTAAGTTAGGAATGGAATTAAGAATGTATACATATATGGACGAGCAATGACAGAGCGGCATGGACTAAGATACAGTAGAATATTATAGAATACAGTATATACATATGAGATGAGTAATGCAAGATATGTAGGGGCGGCAGGTAGCTTAGTGGTTAAGAGCGTTGTGCCAGTAACCAAAAGGTCGCTGGTTCTAATCCCCGAGCCGACTAGGTGAAAAATCTGTCGATGTGCCCTTGAGCAAGGCACTTAACCCTAATTGCTCCTGTAAATAGCTCTGGATAAGAGCGTCTGCTAAAATGTAAATGTAAACATTGTTAAAGTGACTAGTGTTCCATTTCTTAAAGTGACCAGTGATTTCAATAGGCAGCAGCAGACTCTAATGTGCTAGTGATGGCTATTTAACAGTCTGATGGCCTTGATATATAAGCTGTCTCTCGGTCCCAGCTTTGATGCATATGTACTGACCTCGCTTTCTGGATGATAGTGGGGTGAACAGGTGGTTGATGAAGCCATGCAGAACACACAATTGGCCCAGCGTCGTCCAGGGTTGGGGAGGGAATGGCCGGCAGGGATGTAGCTCAGTTGGTAGAGCATGGCGTTTGCAACGCCAGGGTTGTGGGTTCGATTCCCACGGGGGGCCAGCATGAAAAATCAAAAATAATAATGTATGCACTCACTAACTGTAAGTCGCTCTGGATAAGAGTGTCTGCTAAATCAGAGGATTGGGTTGCAATGTAAATGAATAATCAACTTGCAGCACCATGCACAGAGTGAAAGAGACATTTTAAACACGGGAATGTGCAAAATGATAAATAATTAAATGTTGCAGTCATACAATCTGTGTTTGTTCAGAATGGAAACAATTGCATTGATATGTTTTTGGAAATAATTACATTTGACATTTTTTACATTTTTAGTCATTTAGCAGATGCTCTTATCCAGAGCGACCTACAGTTTAAGTGAGTGCATACATTTTTCATACTAATTTTACCTTCAAGTTGTCTTTGTAATTTTTTGCCGTCACGCTTTGAAGATGAGCATACTCACAATGTCTGGACTGTAGAAAGAATCAGTACAACATTAATAAGATACAGCAATTTTAAGAGACGCAAACTGTGACTGCAAAAAAAACATGACCTGGAACGCAACCCAATCCTCTGGCAAGGAGTGTCTGCTGGTGCTAGACCTCTGTGTCCTAGCCTAGCCTCCTTTCCTGTGTCCTAGCCTAACCTCCTTTCCTGTGTCCTAGCCTAACCTCCTTTCCCTTGTCCTAGCCTAGCCTCCTTTCCTGTGTCCCAGCCTAGCCTCCTTTCCTGTGTCCTAGCCTCCTTTCCTTGATATGCACTGATCTGAAAGCAAAGGAGGGGTGAAAGCAATATGGGGGATGTTTACTTTCAAATGTCTTTCCATTTTTTTTTGCATAAGTGTCCTTGTAGGAAGGGAAAGCAGGAGAGGAAGTCATTTCAGACTTTTAGCCTTATATAGCCTTTCACTTATATATACGTTTATTTTTTTATTATTATTATTTTTAGTAATTTAGCAGACGCTCTTATCCAGAGCGACTTACAGTTAGTGAGTGCATACATTTTTTCATACTCGTCCCCCGTGGGAAACAAACCCACAACCCTGGCGTTGCAAGCGCCATGCTCTACCAACTGAGCTACAATGGTCGCATGCCATGTCATCGACTGTGTCATCAACTGACAGATTGCTGTAACATATGTGGTTAGCTGAAAGGTAAAATACCTATTCAGGCGTTGTAAGATCTGGCAGCGTCCTGAACCACGGGTATGATGCAAAACATATTGTTTATGTAACCGGTGTGAGCACTGCTAACTAGCTAGCCATTTCACACTGGTTACATTTACAGTTATATTTCTGTTGGTAACCAGTTTATAATAGCAATAAGGCACCTCAGAGGTTTGCTAAGGGCTGTATCCAGGCACTCCGCGTTGAGTCGTGCATAAGAACAGCACTTAGGCATGGTATATTGGCCATATACCACACCACCTCGGATCTTATTGCTTAAATATAGCCTGACCACTGCGAATCTATCAACAAATGCCCAAACAAATGAAAACTGCAAAATAAAACTATTTTATTAAAAGACAAAGCCAAGTTAACAATAACATCAGTTGCCAATAGAAACAAGAATTAGAATAGAAACCTAAGGAGGAACAATTCCATAAACCAATCTTGTATGTCACGTCTGAAAATACCTTACAAAATCATATCATAGATCTAACGTCTCAGACACACAGGATGTGGACTTAGATTTATTCACGTTGGACATTCTGTGGTAAAGTCTTGATCTGAATGACCTGATCAGATATTTAGCTAATTCTGATCCCCATAGAAGGGCCTTGGGGAGTATTTGGCTGCAACCTCTTCTCTTCTCTCCTCCAATGCAAAAGGCCTAGGAGACAGAGAAGAGATTATGCTTGGAGTGATTAAGTGGTAGTCTGGGTACCAGTCTTTTTAGCTAACATTCCATTACTTGTACTCCTTGGCATATGACACGGAAAAAGCTACAAGGAGTGGAATGTTAGCTAAAAAGACTGGTACCCAGACTAATTAAGTGGGTTCAAATCACGGCCTTAAGAAGGCAGACTAGTGTGAACCACTAGATGGCGCAATAACTTTCTGGTAGCACCATGGTTGGCACCAACACTCCTCCTGCTGAGAGAGAACGAAAAAGGTAAAGCTACATTTACAATTTGGACTTGAAAGGTATTTGGTTGATTTGACATAGAATAGCCTGTGTCTCCTCACCAGTAGATTTCTTCCTGTAGTAGATCAGTCCAGCTGCTATAAAGACCACCCCCAGCAGCAGCCCACAGGCCCCGATCACCATCTTATTCCTCTCAGGCTTAGGCAGGGAGGGGTCTGTAATTACACAAACAATTAAGACATACATCTTATAATAAATAGCCTTATAAACCCTCCCACCCAAGAACTCGTATCTCATTCAGACACTCCTAGTCCACACACACACACACATACCCCAGTCATACAGCTTGGGCTCAGTGAGGCTGAAGTGCTCCACCATACAGGTGATTTTCTCTCCAGGTGTGGGCGTGTACTCCAGGTGGGAGTGGATCTGGTAGGTCCAGTCCCCATTGGCCAGCTCCTCTGTGGAAGTCACATTTGCGGTCACTTCCTGTCCGTCCCTCAGCCACGTCACTCTGATGGGTTTGGGGTAGAAGCCGTAGGCACTGCACAAGAGCATGGCCGGGTGTCTGGTACTGAACGGCTCCACTGACCTCAGTCTGATGTAGGGCTCAACTGGAGAGGGATGAACACACTGGGTTCTTCAGGGCTCGCCTCATGCTCTTTTCACAACGTTCATCTGTCTCATCTAATATGTACTCCTCCTTATCACTACCATTGAGTATGTACTCATACATTCACCTGTCTTATCTAGTATGTACTCATACACTCACCTGTCTTATCTAGTATGTACTCATACACTCACCTGTCTTATCTAGTAAGTACCAATACACCACAGGAACGTTTGCCGCTGCAATATTTCTTCATGTCTGCTCTCCTCTCAGCCAGAAAAGCAGGGCCTTTGCAGGCCGTTTCAGTGAAGTTCTTCATCCATTGTGTGTATACCGTACATTTCTCTGTTGTGCTGTTGTATTGTCCCAGTAACTTCTTGTTGCCGTAGACCTGTATCAGAAACTCAACATCATGGGGATCCTTGGAGCTGAACCGACACCTCATCTCACAGTGTCCAAAATAGCCATCTGTCAAATAAACAGTCACAAACAAGATGATTTCTGGAGGTCTCGTTTCTCTTCTTTCATAATATCATCTGATCAACAGACCAGAGAAATCAAAGAAATCCTGTGGATTTCACTCTTTACGTATTTATGTCTATAGAAAGATTATAATATATATTATTTATCAAAATACAAACATGTTCAGTGCACAATTTCATCAGTGCACGATTACAAGAACACAGAGGATGACACACTTTGGCCAATATACTGTCCCGAGAATTTCTATCTCTAATTAATCAAACTTAATGCTCTGAATAATTCCCAGAGGGTGTAAGGCTCTGGTTTAATCATGAATTAAACAAAGGTCCACAACCGGCCAGAATGATCTGTATGTTTAATCATGGAGAGCTCTGCCGCCAAAAACCACATATACAGCTTTTATACCCCTTGACACACAAAGGCACTTTGCTCCGTCCACCTTTAGGAGGCCTTTAACCAGTTTCTCAGTCCCCTTCACCCTGGAATGTTTGTCTCAGCAGTTTCTAACTCACCCCCTCTGTTAGTGGGTTTATAATGATAACCCTAACACAGTTCACACAATCATCAGTATTGGGGTTAAAGCTAATTTCCTGCAATTATAAACATTTTGCCATGTGGCAGAGAGAAAGATTTTATGTTTTATAGCTCCTCTCATGCTATTCGTCATATTTTGCCATGAGGATGAGTTTTTTTTCTTCAGTTTTAAAGCACATTTCCTGCTACTCTACACATTCTGCCATGAGGCTGAGAGAACATGTTGCAGTTTTAAAGTAACTGTCCAGTGAAAATCTCACTGTTAAAAGTGAATATTCTGTTAACTCATACCCAAATAATGTTGTTGACTCATCCTATACTTGTATTTGTGGCCAAAGCATAAATTGGAGAAAAAACACTTCAAAAACCCCAACTCAAACTTGTATCTCAACAGACCATTCAAAAAGGCTTGCTATTTCCTCATAGACGATGATGTCATCCTCTTGAGGAGGATGATCTGGCCAATCAGCAGTCTACTCGCATGAATATTTTGAATGACTGGTATACGCCCACACCATTTTGTTGTTGGGGTACGCCCACACCATTCCAACACAGAAAAGCTGCTTTTTAACATACTTAATAAATAAAAAAATTGGAAGGAAAACGATTTCACTCATATTGTAATTAATTATGGATCATATTTCATAGAAATCTGGAAACACTGGAGGTGTTAAAGGTAAACTTTGGGCAAAAAAACTACGGCTTTAAACTGTATAACTGATCAACGCACCATCATGCCTGGTCATGTAAAGTTACAAAAAAATTATAAAAATGGATGAATAAGATATTTGGCTACAGAAGTGCCATTTCTTACCAATCTCTACAGCTTCCGTCCAAAAACAAATCCTGTGAAATGATACCAACACATACTGGATATCTACAAGTGGCTAGCTACAAATGGCTAGCTTAGCTAACGAACTAGCTATGTTGGTCACGGCACGCATGACCACAATGACAGCGATGAACCACCAAAGGCACACCCCATTTCTGTTGAAAAATGTAGAATGATGAGTTGGAAAAAATTTCGTGCCCAAAGTCGACTGTTAAAGCTAATTTCCTGCAATTCTACACATTTTGCCATTGTTTATGACGTGTTCATATGCTATCTTTTTTGTTTTAAAGAAATGACATGTCCCCCCATCCCCCGTGGCAATTTCGCCTATGACTTCAATCACTTCAGTCTCTCTGTACAGAGACCATAGTCAACATTAATCCAACATTTATCTCACCACTACAAGTGTCTATAATGGCAGTCATTTTGCAAAGCTCAAGACGATAACTGAGACTTTGGACTGACTTTGTGTATCTTGATCAATTCAAAGTCATTCTATGGTTCCTGTCGAACCTGATCACATCTATAGGACATTAGCAGATTTTTACTCACCTACTACAGACAGAGAGGAGAGGAGCACCAGGTGTATGGAGGAGAAATTCAGCACAGACATGCTTACGTCTCAGAGTTAGAACAGAGTTAGATACCTCCTTCTGTGTCTCTATGTGGTTAATGTCGGCCTGTGTCTATAACGGAACAGAACAGAATGAGGAATCAGATTGGATGGACCAACGTCAGTCCAGTAGCGAAACAGCTCTAAAGTCTTACAGGAAGTCATTTGTTATCATATTGCTATGCTCTCTCTCTCTCTCTCTCTCGCTCTCTCTCTCTCTCTCTCTCTCTCTCTCGCTCTCTCTCTCTCTCTCAGCATATCACAAAGCACTGCAATGCATGACTGATTATGTGTAATAACGTTACCAGCTAAAATATTGTAATCGGATGACAGATTATTTTGAGAAACTAGATGATTACTTCTTGGATTACTTTTAAATTCAGAAAGGATGTTTGTGAAAAAATACATTATGACACTTTCTGTTTTCTCAATGACATTCAATTCAGCATTGAAAAAAGGTGCAAGTTTAAGTTTGTCCGCCTGAGCGAGTCTGACCACAAGTCAGAGACCACTATGATGACACATCAAATGTGTTGCATGGATCCTTTTAGTTTTCTTCTAATGCCTCTTAAAGGGAAAGTAACTGAAAGTAATCAGATTACGTTACTGAGTTTGGGTAATCCAAAAATTACATTACTGATTGCAATTTTGGACTGGTAACTAGTAACGGATTACATTTAGAAAGTAACTAACCCAACCCTGTTCATGATTAATGATTTCTTGACACCAGGAAAAGTCCCATAGCGATTATTGCATACAATAAAACTCTTATTCCCGTCACTGTGTGTAAATATTAACCAACCTACTACTTTACAGTCTTGTTTGGGTGTCTATTGGATTGGTCCCACAATAGCTCAGACATGTTCTCCCATTCTCACTCACAGTTTCAGTACATTGTATAAATCCTTCATACTTCCTCATGTGATCACGCTCTCTGTAGCCGATGTGAGTAAGACTTTTAAGCAGGTCAACATTCACAAGGCCACAGGGCCAGACAGATTACCAGGACGTGTACTCTGAGCATGTGCTGAACAATTGGCAAGTGTCTTCACTGACATTTTCAACATTTCCCTGACTGAGTCTGTAATACAAACATGTTTCAAGCAGACCACCATAGTCCCTGTGCCCAAGAACACTAAGATAACTTGCATAAATGACTACCGACCCATAGCACTCACGTCTGTAGCCATGAAGTGCTTTGAAAGGCTGGTCATGGCTCACATCAACACCATTATCCCAGAAACCCTAGACCCACTCCAATTTGCATACCGCCCCAACAGATCCACAGATTATGCTATCTTTATTGCACTCCACACTGCCCTTTCCCACCTGGACAAGAGGAACACCTACATGAGAATGCTATTCATTGACTACAGCTCAGCGTTCAACACCATAGTGCCCTCAAAGCTCATCACTAAGCTAAGGACCCTGGGACTAAACAGCTCCCTCTGCAACTGGATCCTGGACTTCCTGACGGGCCGCCCCCAGGTGGTAAGGGTAGGTAACAACACATCTGCCACGCTGATCCTCAACATGGGGGCCCCTCAGGGGTGCGTGCTCAGTCCCCTCCTGTACACCATCATTAAGTTTGCCGACGACACAACAGTGGTAGGCCTGATCACCGACAATGATGAGACAGCCTATAGGGAGGAGGTCAGAGACCTGGCCGTGTGGTGCCAGGATAACAACCTCTCCCTCAACGTGATCAAGACAAAGGAGATGATTGTGGACTACAGGGGAAAAAAGAGGACTGAGCACACCCCCATTCTCATCGATGGGGCTGTAGTGGAACAGGTTGAGAGCTTCAAGTTCCTTGGTGTCCACATCACCAACAAACTATCAAGGTCCAAACACACCAAGACAGTCGTGAAGAGGGCACGACAAAGCCTTTTCCCCCTCAGGAGACTGAAAAGATTTGGCACGGGGTCCTCAGATCCTCAAAAAGTTCTACAGCTGCACCATCGAGAGCATCCTGACTGGTTGCATCACCGCCTGGTATGGCAACTGCTCGGCCTCCGACCGCAAGGCACTACAGAGGGTAGTGCATACGGCCCAGTACATCACGGACTCTGTACCGGTACCCCCTGCATATAACCTCCCAACAGTTTTTTTCTTAAAAACTGCATTGTTGGTTAAGGGCTTGTAATCATTTCATTGTAATGTCTACACCTGTTGTATTCGGCGCATGTGGCAAATAACATTTGATTTGATGTTTACCACACAACTGATAGTTATTGGTAAATTGTGAAATGACATTCAAGTTCGTGATCATGTAAGTATTGATGATGGAGGGGTGAATTACCCACTTGCAGTGTACCATGTTGTAAGACGGGGGAACAATTAATGAATGCGATCCATCATGTCTATTATTGCTGAATGTCTCAGGTTGGGTGAGATCACATTTATGATACAGTGGGGGGAAAAAGTATTTAGTCAGCCACCAATTGTGCAAGTTCTCCCACTTAAAAAGATGAGAGAGGCCTGTAATTTTCATCATAGGTACACGTCAACTATGACAGACAAAATGAGAAATAAAAATCCTGAAAATCACATTGTAGGATTTTTAATGAATTTATTTGCAAATTATGGTGGAAAATAAGTATTTGGTCAATAACAAAAGTTTCTCAATACTTTGTTATATAAACAAGCAAGATTTCTGGCTCTCACAGACCTGTAACTTCTTCTTTAAGAGGCTCCTCTGTCCTCCCCTCGTTTCCTGTATTAATGGCACCTGTTTGAACTTGTTATCAGTATAAAATACACCTGTCCACAACCTCAAACAGTCACACTCCAAACTCCACTATGGCCAAGACCAAAGAGCTGTCAAAGGACACCAGAAACAAAATTGTAGACATGCACCAGGCTGGGAAGACTGAATCTGCAATAGGTAAGCAGCTTGGTTTGAAGAAATCAACTGTGGGAGCAATTATTAGGAAATGGAAGACATACAAGACCACTGATAATCTCCCTCGATCTGGGGCTCCACGCAAGATCTCACCCCGTGGGGTCAAAATGATCACAAGAACGGTGAGCAAAAATCCCAGAACCACACGGGGGGACCTAGTGAATGACCTGCAGAGAGCTGGGACCAAAGTAACAAAGCCTACCATCAGTAACACACTACGCCGCCAGGGACTCAAATCCTGCTGTGTCCCCCTGCTTAAGCCAGTACATGTCCAGGCCCGTCTGAAGTTTGCTAGAGTGCATTTGGATGATCCAGAAGAGGATTGGGAGAATGTCATATGGTCAGATGAAACCAAAATATAACTTTTTGGTAAAAACTCAACTCGTCGTGTTTGGAGTACAAAGAATGCTGAGTTGCATCCAAAGAACACCATACCTACTGTGAATCATGGGGGTGGAAACATCATGCTTTGGGGCTGTTTTTCTGCAAAGGGACCAGGACGACTGATCCGTGTAAAGGAAAGAATGAATGGGGCCATGTATCGTGAGATTTTGAGTGAAAACCTCCTTCCATCAGCAAGGGCATTGAAGATGAAACGTGGCTGGGTCTTTCAGCATGACAATGATCCCAAACACACCACCCGGGCAACGAAGGAGTGGCTTCGTAAGAAGCATTTCAAGGTCCTGGAGTGGCCTAGCCAGTCTCCAGATCTCAACCCCATAGAAAATCTTTGGAGGGAGCTGAAAATCCGTGTTGCCCAGCGACAGCCCCAAAACATCACTGCTCTAGAGGAGATCTGCATGGAGGAATGGGCCAAAATACCAGCAACAGTGTGTTGAAAACCTTGTGAAGACTTACAGAAAACGTTTGACCTGTGTCATTGCCAACAAAGGGTATAACAAAGTATTGAGAACATTTTTGTTATTGACCAAATACTTATTTTCCACCACTAATTTGCAATAAATTCATAAAAAATCCTACAATGTGATTTTCTGGAATTCTTTCTCATTTGTCTGTCATCGTTGACGTGTACCTATGATGAAAATTACAGGCCTCTCTCATCTTTTTAAGTGGGAGAACTTGCACAATTGGTGGCTGGACTAAATACTTTTTTTCCCCAATGTATACCTTTGTTGGCAATGACACAGGTCAACGTTTCTGTAAGTCTTCACAAGGTTTTCACACACTGTTGCTGTATTTTGGCCCATTCCTCCATGCAGATCTCCTCTAGAGCAGTGATGTTTTGGGGCTGTCGCTGGGCAACACAGACTTTCAACTCCCTCCAAAGATTTTCTATGGGGTTGAGATCTGGAGACTGGCTAGGCCACTCCAGGACCTTGAAATGCTTCTTACGAAGCCACTCCTTCGTTGCCCGGGCGGTGTGTTTGGGATCATTGTCATGCTGAAAGACCCAGCCACGCTTCATCTTCAATGCCCTTGCTGATGGAAGGAGGTTTTCACTCAAAATCTCACGATACATGGCCCCATTCATTCTTTCCTTTACACAGATCAGTCGTCTTGGTCCCTTTGCAGAAAAACAGCCCCAAAGCATGATGTTTCCACCCCCATGCTTCACAGTAGGTATGGTGTTCTTTGGATGCAACTCAGCATTCTTTGTCCTCCAAACACGACGAGTTGAGTTTTTACCAAAAAGTTATATTTTGGTTTCATCTGACCATATGACATTCTCCCAATCCTCTACTGGATCATCCAAATGCACTGTAGCAAACTTCAGACGGGCCTGGACATGTACTGGCTTAAGCAGGGGGACACGTATGGCACTGCAGGATTTGAGTCCCTGGCGGCGTAGTGTGTTACTGATGGTAGGCTTTGTTACTTTGGTCCCAGCTCTCTGCAGGTCATTCACTAGGTCCCCCCGTGTGGTTCTGGGATTTTTGCTCACCGTTCTTGTGATCATTTTGACCCCACGGGGTGAGATCTTGCGTGGAGCCCCAGATCGAGGGAGATTATCAGTGGTCTTGTACATCTTCCATTTCCTAATAATTGCTCCCAGAGTTGATTTCTTCAAACCAAGCTGCTTACCTATTGCAGATTCAGTCTTCCCAGCCTGGTGCAGGTCTACAATTTTGTTTCTGGTGTCCTTTGACAGCTCTTTGGTCTTGGCCATAGTGGAGTTTGGAGTGTGACTGTTTGAGGTTGTGGACAGGTGTCTTTTATACTGATAACAAGTTCAAACAGGTGCCATTAATACAGGTAACGAGTGGAGGACAGAGGAGCCTCTTAAAGAAGAAGTTACAGGTCTGTGAGAGCCAGAAATCTTGCTTGTTTGTAGGTGACCAAATACTTATTTTCCACCATAATTTGCAAATAAATTCATTAAAAATCCTACAATGTGATTTTCTGGATTTTCATTTCTCAATTTGTCTGTCATAGTTGACGTGTACCTATGATGAAAATTACAGGCCTCTCTCATCTTTTTAAGTGGGAGAACTTGCACAATTGGTGGCTGACTAAATACTTTTTTTCCCCACTGTACCTTTGATTGTTCTGAAAAAATCATTTAGATTTTATTGACAGGAACAAATGTGAACTGTTACAGAGTAGCTCTTATATAATAATATTATTCGCACTGGCGTACCACACACCCCTGCAGCCCCCGCTCTGGGGGCCTCAAATCCCCCCCCCCCCCCAAAAAAAAAGGTGGAGGCCCCCTGGAGGTCAGGCTCCCCTCCCAAGATAACATAAGAACATGTCATAAGTCATGGCAGAAATGTTTAAAATGACAGGAAATTAGCTGTAAAACTTAAACATTTTCTCTCAGCCTCATGGCAAAATGTGTAAAATAGCATGAGATTAGCTATAAAACTGCAAATGTTTCTCTCTGCCCCATGGCAATTTGTGTAGAATTGCAGGATATTAGCTTTAAAACAGCAATATTTTCTCTCAGCCTCATGGCAAAATATGTAAAATAGCATGAGATTAGCTATAAAACTGCAGACTGCAGTTAGCATAAAACTTTTAAGAAACTGTCGTACACCACTAATTATTTGTCACATTGTTTACCTACAACAGAAAAATATGACTTTATTCATTTAATATACATTACCAGTCAAGAGTGTGCAAAGCTGTCATCAAGGCAAAGGGTGGCTATGTGAAGAATCTCAAATATATTTTGATTTGTTTAACACTTTTTTAGTTACTACATGATTCCATATGTTATTTCATAGTTTTGATGTCTTCACTATTATTATACAATGTAGAAAATAGTAAAAATATAGAAAAATCCTTGAATGAGTAGATGTGTCCAAACTTTTGACTGGTAGTGTATGTCACAATTCAGTTGAACTGTTGTCCTTTGACGTAGAGGAATGTTCCAGTAGCCACTCCCAACAGTCCCAGAGTCAGGCCCACTCCACAGAATACAGCAGGACCAGCACTGGACCCACTCACCTCACTGACCTCATACTCTGGGGGACAAGAGGAGAGGGGTGCCATCAAAACCAGGAAGAAATACATCTTTCAAAGATCATATATTGCAGTGGCAATACTTCATGGGGAAACATTACCCTGAGTTTCAGATTTTCTTATATCTGAGGGGCCTCTAAAGACCCAAGATAATTGAGTAAATACCCCATTTAGAGAAACAGTTTCTCACCCCAGAACCTGGTTTTGGGGTCCTTCAGGGCCGTGTGCTCCACAGTGCAGGCGTAGACGTCCCCCTCCTGTGGGGTGAAACTCAGGGTGGAGAACTGGTGGAACGTTCCATCTTCATTAGGATAGTACCGACTGAGAGATGCTACCTCAGTCACCTCGAGGCCATTCTTGGCCCAGTTGACTTTGACAGGCGGGGGGTAGAAATGATTGGCAAAACAGATAAGGGTGTTCTCCACCCCCAGCTCCTCCTCATCCCTGGGGTAGATGGTGCTCTCAGGGGCATCTGGGGGGTGGGGAATACAACCACTCGCTTTAAAATCAATCTCTCACTGTAATACACTGCTCAAAAAAATTAAGGGAACACTAAAATAACACATCCTAGATCTGAATGAATGAAATAATCTTATTAAATACTTTTTTCTTTACATAGTTGAATGTGCTGACAACAAAATCACACAAAAATTATCAATGGAAATCAAATGTATCAACCCATGGAGGTCTGGATTTGGAGTCACCCTCAAAATTAAAGTGGAAAACCACACTACAGGCTGATCCAACTTTGATGTAATGTCCTTAAAACAAGTCAAAATGAGGCTCAGTAGTGTGTGTGGCCTCCACGTGCCTGTATGACCTCCCTACAACGCCTGGGCATGCTCCAGATGAGGTGGCGGATGGTCTCCTGAGGGATCTCCTCCCAGACCTGGACTAAAGCATCCGCCAACTCCTGGACAGTCTGTGGTGCAACGTGGCGTTGGTGGATGGAGCGAGACATGATGTCCCAGATGTGCTCAATTGGATTCAGGTCTGGGGAACGGGCGGGCCAGTCCATAGCATCAATGCCTTCCTCTTGCAGGAACTGCTGACACACTCCAGCCACATGAGGTCTAGCATTGTCTTGCATTAGGAGGAACCCAGGGCCAACCGCACCAGCATATGGTCTCACAAGGGGTCTGAGGATCTCATCTCGGTACCTAATGGCAGTCAGGCTACCTCTGGCGAGCACATGGAGGGCTGTGCGGCCCCCCCAAAGAAATGCCACCCCACACCATGACTGACCCACCGCCAAACCGGTCATGCTGGAGGATATTGCAGGCAGCAGAACGTTCTCCACGGCGTCTCCAGACTCTGTCACGTCTGTCACATGTGCTCAGTGTGAACCTGCTTTCATCTGTGAAGAGCACAGGGCGCCAGTGGCGAATTTGCCAATCTTGGTGTTCTCTGGCAAATGCCAAACGTCCTGCACGGTGTTGGGCTGTAAGCACAACCCCCACCTGTGGACGTCGGGCCCTCATACCACCCTCATGGAGTCTGTTTCTGACCGTTTGAGCAGACACATGCACATTTGTGGCCTGCTGGAGGTCATTTTGCAGGGCTCTGGCAGTGCTCCTCCTGCTCCTCCTTGCACAAAGGCGGAGGTAGCAGTCCTGCTGCTGGGTTGTTGCCCTCCTCCACGTCTCCTGATGTACTGGCCTGTCTCCTGGTAGCGCCTCCATGCTCTGGACACTACGCTGACAGACACAGCAAACCTTCTTGCCACAGCTCGCATTGATGTGCCATCCTGGATGAGCTGCACTACCTGAGCCACTTGTGTGGGTTGTAGACTCTGTCTCATGCTACCACTAGAGTGAAAGCACCGCCAGCATTCAAAAGTGACCAAAACATCAGCCAGGAAGCATAGGAACTGAGAAGTGGTCTGTGATCTCCACCTGCAAAACCAGTCCTTTATTGGGGGTGTCTTGCTAATTGCCTATAATTTCCACCTGTTGTCTATTCCATTTGCACAACAGCATGTGAAATGTATTGTCAATCAGTGTTGCTTCCTAAGTGGACAGTTTGATTTCACAGAAGTGTGATTGACTTGGAGTTACATTGTGTTGTTTAAGTGTTCCCTTTATTTTTTTGAGCAGTACATAGGCATTTTTGTCACTTGTTATTTCACTGAAAATTTTGAAAAGTTTCAATTATTGTCAAAAAAGTTGATATGCTCTTTACCCATTATCTCAGGTGGACACTTTTCGTCTAATATCCAAAGAGCCAAGACATCCCGACACAATCGTCTGCCTTTGACGGCATTCTTGTAGAAGTTATGAACAACAGTGGAGCCTGGGAATGGCCCCAGGAACTCAGGCAACGTCCAAACTTCCTGTCCTCTCTGGAAGTCAGCATATAACACTTCCTCCCCATCCACCTGAACCTCCGCCTCTGCCTCCACCTTTGTCTGCTCAAGACAGCCCAGCACATAGACGGCCTCATGAGGAACTGGAAACCAAAACAGATAATACATAAAAGTTCAGTTGAGTGATAAATACACCAAATCATTAACACCAGCTTCAATCTTTACAATGTGATTGATTCAAATACTGGTTCAAAGTCAGTTTTAAACCGTTATCACACTTTCTGTACTCAGTACTATGAAGGAAATAGTATGATCCTGGCCCTAATTCAATTGGCATTAGATCAATAAAATACTTACTTTCTGCCGAAGTGCAGACGACCGCAGTGAGAACGACAATAGCCACAGAGAGGTTCATCTCTCAGTTCGTGAGCGTGTGGGAGAACTCTGCCGAGAACAAGGCACTGACACAACTCTTCCTCTCTTTCACTTTAGTCTCATCTACAGATACTACTGCTGAACATGCGTTATCTAGACTAGAACCAATCAGAACATTTCTTTCACTCTTACTGTATCCAGGAAGAAATAGTTTACAGACCAGGAGAGTAGAGGACTCCACTGGTGAACTAAGCACTATATTCCTGTTTTAACCACCTTATACCACCAGGAGGCACTGTCATCCCCTACTGTATTTCTCTATTTAGAACTTAGAAGGCAGGATAAATCCAGTCTTCTTCTATAGGCTTTTCGATAAACCCTTTGAAATCTTGTTTGTTTTTCCTGGCCCAGTCAAAGCTGTCTGTGAATGGTCAAACACAGCTCAGACTAGACTGAACGATAACAGATATACCCAGAAAGACACAAGCAGAGAGATACAGTACAAGCATAATCTTGTGTCTCTCTGGGTAGCTCGGTGTAATCTTCTTTCTGGCCAACTGTCATTGATAAGCCTTGTCTGAGTATATCTCAACGTGGTAATTAAATTGATATAATTTACAATTACTGTTCTGAAGGCTTTGTGGGATCATACCGGTAGCTATTGTTACTTGTGTTTATACAAGGAGTCTGACATATTACTGAGGTGTGGCGTCTGCATTGTAGCCAGTACAGGTGTGGTAATGAAATAGCCTAGTCTCTGAGTTGCAATACAAGTAAGGCTCCATAGCTCAGTGGTTAGAGCACTGGTCTTGTAAACCAGGGGTCGTGAGTTCAATTCTCGCTGGGGCCTGACATATTTTGGCCCAGCTGATTTGTGACCCCGAGGCCGGTGGCACCTGTTGTCACACAACAGCAGCAGCCATTGGACTGTTGCTCTCTAGATAGCCAGCAACTCAAACTAACCCTGCCCTGGAAAACACATTATGAAGTCTCTTTCTGCATCTCTCCTCTACTCAATTCCCTAGCTTATCTCCCTGTCTCGTCCCCAAGCCGAAAAACAACAGCATCCTTGAGAGAAACTCATCTTTTAAAGCTGTCATATCATATCCTTACAGCAGGTGGTAGTACAGAGTGATTACAGAATGTGCCACAACTAGTTTATTGAGTAAGGACGATAAGTATTTTGTTTTTTAAATAAATAAAAAACAGGTAACAATATGTTGAGTGTTGTGGTGTTATCTTACAGAGGGCAGATAAAATAAGTAGCAACACTATCATCACACAGCAACATGAGAAACACATAGAAACGTGATGATTTCAGACAGATCATGGAGCAATCATCATAGGAGGGTCAAGTTATTCACTTGTTTTGTTTTTCCTGTAGACAGTAGCTAACTTAAAAGTCTGTGTAGACAGTAACTAACTCAAAAGGTCTGTGTAGACAGTAACTAACTCAAAAGGTCTGTGTAGACAGTAACTAACTCAAAAGGTCTGTGTAGACAGTAACTAACTCAAAAAGTCTGTGTAGACAGCAGATAACTCTAAAGGTCTTCAATCTACTGAATGTGTTCATCAAATCCCCATCATGACATCGGTCAGATTGGGCGTGATACAGTCTCTTGACACTACAGACGCTTCCTTGTTGTTGAAATGGGGCCCAAGGTCTCTATTGGTTTTCAGGCTGTGTGAGAGTGTGAGTTCCCTCTCTTTGTAACAGTCCCTGTTGGTCCCTCTCCCCGAGAGTCTCAGATGCCTCCTAGACAGTGGAAACTGATCAAAGGTCAGTGTTGTGTTGTTCTCCCTAAAGGTCAATGTCCCTCCCAGGCCAGGACAGACACTGGCTGAACTCCCATCTCCCAGCAGGCCTTGCGGTCAGGGTATAATGCAGGTGGCCTTGCGGAGCGCCAGGTAACCGGTGACGGCGTCAGTGGGGAGCAGGCGCAGGAAGGAGAACTCCTCAGATGACGTGAACCTCAGCTTGGTCTGGGGGTCCATGTAGTTGGCCTGACACATGGACACATAGCATAATGCAGTGAGTGTTCAGTTCACCTGACACATACAAAATGACAATAGCTCATAGGGTGTCCATAAACATGTGTGAGGACTGGAGAACAGTCTGTATGTGTGTGTGTGTGTGTCAGTTACTCACGGGGAGTCCAGAGATGTCTGAGTATTTCTTGGCTGGCTTCAGGGAGGGGGGGGCATCGATGCTGTAGTCTGAACACAGCAGGGTCAAAGGTCAAACTCAGGCAATCAGAGAAGGCTCAGAAAGTATCAGGACAGGTGTAATACTGCACAGAGAAGTAGCTTATAGTTACACAGCCTTCTGATAAAATCCCCCAAATGGATAATCATTTTCACTGTAAACATCTTTCAAAGCAGAAACATTGATCCAAAACATGTTTCACACACAAAGTCAGACCCACTCACAATTGGGGTCATTGATCTTCCAGGGTAGAGTCCGTTCCACTGACAGGATCTGTTTCAGGTTTTTCCAGGTTCGGTTCTTTTTTCCTGCTGCAGCTCCCCCTATCCCTGAATGCTATAGAGAAAAATGGGGGGAGAGAGAGGAGTGAGGCGAAGACAAGTGAGGGAAAGACAGAAAATGCTCTATCAACCAGTTATAATTTCACAAGTGTTTCCCCAGTCTGGTCACCACAAATATGGGGTCTTTGAAGGGCAGGGGTTTGGCTGCAGGGTCAGTTGTGGCTGGAGCTACAGCGTCAGACACACCCACTGCATTCCCCTCAGACACCGCCTCCACTGCAGCCACCTACAGGGGTGGTTTAGCAGGATGCAACGTTTTGTAACGTTTAGATTGAAATATGCTATGTTTATACAACATGCCTCTCTGACATGTAAAATAAGTAATCATGTAGGCTCTATTAGTGGCATTTCTATCTGCAACGTTGTTTGGCAACTGAACGTGGCCCAGGGGACAGCTCAGCTGTTACATAACTAGTTACACCAAACAGTTTAGATAAAGTGCAGCCAGCATTACAAGCATTATGTAATCTCTCTACTTTTCAAGTTTGAGTGATATTTGGTGTTTAGAAAAACAAAAGAGATTGATTATATTTTTGACTGCAGAAAGTAGATCATAAGTTTTCACTGGGACTTAACTGGATATGTTAAATACGAGGTTAAAAAGTGGTGAAGTGACCCTATAACTGTATTTTATTGTAATGGGAGGACCTCTTACCATGCCCACTCAATTTCTGGTACTGTATCATCGAAATCAGAAACATTTTAATTGGCCTGTCTATTCCTCTGCGTATGTAGTAGCTTGCTAGCTAGCTAGCTAACTTGCAGCGGGGAAACTACCTGCGCTTGTGTCTGGTTTGCGATGGGCTGCTTCTTCTTCTTGCTGTTGTTCCCACTGGCCGGTAGAGCAGGAGAGGTGGCCGTGTTAGCAGGTCGCTTCTTACCGCGGAGCCCGGCCGGGCTAGAAGCCACCACCAAAGTCTGTGTTTTACCATCTTGCGAAGACGTCACCGTGACTGTCCCTGCTACACCGGGATTATGGTTCGGAGAAGCCATTTCTCTGTAAATGATTAACGGAAGAAAAAAAACGTTAAAATGTTCATAAACACATGTTCTATTGTCTTTGAAAATATTTTCGAGTGATCGTCCCGCGGATAACCACTTCCGGGTCAAAACAATTTCTTCTTCTTCTTCTTCTTCTTCTTCTTCTTTTTTTAGGCTTTATGGCAGACTACAACCTATTAGTGTATTGCCGCCACCAACTGTTTGGCTGTTTATCAGCCTACTATTCTGTATTATGAATTCATTACACTGTGAAAAATTGCCCTACCAACTAACGCAACACCCATTAAAACCTCACCACCACTCCACTACTTTGACTCTATCTGATCCTACACCAGGCCAACAGCCTGGGAGGACGGGACACTATCGCTAACAGCTTGTAACTGTTCTGCAGTACAATCATGTACACCCAAATACTTATCTGCAGCTGCCACCACAACATCTATCCTCTGTGATTTACGTCCCATTCCTGCGGTACGGGAATGGAACGTACAGTTGAAGCTCATTTACTGTAGCCTACTTCTACACAATTTAAAAACTCTAAAATGCTATTTGGAGAACAAAAAAACAAACAAAAAAAATGTCCCCCAGACATTATCACCGCAATATCAGGTTTATATTAGGTTTTATACTCAACCTCATCATACATAGGCTACATTGACTATTTTAGCCTACTTGTAGAACAGTGCATACAGTGCAACATGAAATAGATGCATAATACACGCTAAGGGCGACTTCAAATACCGACATCATTGTGAACTTAACCGGAGCATAAAACAGCTGACTGCGAATGCAAACTATGCCAGATAAATCCTACACATGCATTGAAATAAAAGGCATACATTAAAGGAATTACGTAGGCCTACAATCGACAAGAACGCATAAAGACAAACAAAATCTACACATTAAGGCCGCGCGGTGATTCAGCACTGCTGAATGGACAGCGCCTCCGTACAGGTAGACATAGGGGAGCTCCGTGGGGTGTGGCTGAATGGACAGCGTCTCTGTCCAGTAGCCAGCTAGAATTAGGCTATTCAGTTTAGACATTTTCTGGGCACAGTTGAGTAGCCTACAATGCTTATATGAAAATCATAACTGGCATGGAGATCTTTAGAAATTGTAGGATCAATTGTAAACTGTCACTCATATGAAAAAGGTTGCAGACCCCCTGCTATAGGCTATATGAAGTCACTCTTGTGGAACGGCGCATACCATGGACTATTACAGTGTCATTGTCTCATGCGCTTCCCACCAAAATTGTTGCTCTGCATTCAGAGATGTTCCTTATAATGTGTAAACTCAGCATTCTGCGAATATTGAAGCATTACATCAACAAGGTGTTTCTGAGAACATTGAAACATTGTATCAACGAACCAGGCGGCTCGGATTATATTGAAACAGTTTGTATCAACAAGACTACTCCGAGAATATGAATATTGCAACATTGTAGGCAACGCGAAGGCGGCCCGCGAACATTTTCCCCGGGGCCAGCTTGTCTCTGTCTGATATTATTGTGTTGCCTACGCAGCATATTGGTGCTCATTACATATATTTTTTAAAACAGCCCTACATCCTCACTATAGATAAATAACTTAGCAATATTTAATTACGTTTTGCCAGCAAGATTAATCTGTTATAATATCTCATTTTAATTCAGGAAGATGGACCAGCAAGACTGATAGAGGGAGAGGTGGAAATGCATTATACCAGAGGCAGGTAGGCTGCAGGCAGAGGATGATGATGTAGGTCTACAGCAAAAAGTTAAAGAGTTAGCCCAACTAGGTAATCAATAATTAATGAATTATTTGCATTATCTCAATGATCATTCTGTCAGCTGCATGACAATGCACATTTGTTATAGCCTACAATTGTTATTGTCTTTGAAGCCAAAAACAAGACATTTATTTTTGGGAAATGCTCTAAGTAGCAAGTTGTTCAGTTGTTTATTTTCATACCAATAGTCCTACATGAAACCAAAATTGCACTAGCCTACTGGGCGAATAAATTAAAATAACAATTAGGCATACAGCTATCACAACCTATATTTTAAAATAGCAATAAAACAGCTTTGGGTTTCGAATGGTCACCAAAAACGAGGGCTCCCACCTCCCAATTCCCTATTAAATGAACCTCTAGCTATCAGATTACAACAAGGCTAGCAAGGCCAAGTTAAAATGCCAACATCAAATTCAAAGCAATTGGCGCACTGCCTAAACAGCTGACCTGCAAAGCAAATGGCACTCTCTGCCCTCTGCTTTCTAAAAGTTACAGAAAATGCACACAGCTGCTCTATTTGTTTATTTTATTAATCGTTTTTTAATTCACATTTTTCAGGGCGTGCTGCAGCACCCTCAGCACCCCTACTTCCTGTGGCTCTGCTCTGCACTACTCTGAACCTGGCAACCTCAACCTGACTCTGTCTCTGTTTCACCTGAAGCCAGCAACATGGGCACCCCCACAGTTTACACCCACCACTTTTTCCACCGTTACTTTTATATTAGGATATAACCCTGCACCTATACACTTGCAGCGTTCAAAACAACTGTGAAATGGGAACTCGGAAGTCTCAGACTTCCGACTTCAGTTCGTTCAAGACAACTGGGAAGTCGGGGAAAAAACAAGCTCAGACTGGGGATTTTTTTATTTTTACGGTCCAAATCAGAATTCCAAGTCAGAAACTCTGGCATCTTTCTAGAGCTCCAACTTTCTGGCCTAAAGATCACTGACTTCATGATTTGACCTTGTTCTTTCAGAGTTCCTAGTTGTCTTAAAAGCACCAACTATCCCCAAAAACCCACCACCCCATCCCACTACTTTCAAGCTAAACGATCCTACATCAGGCCGTTGGCCTGGAGGATGGAACCCCCCCTCTCAAAACTCCATGTAGATCTTCTGCACTAAAATCGATCACACCCAAATATTTCTCTGCTGCTGCAACTACCACATCTATCTTCTGTCATTTCCGCTTTATTTCAACATGGCTATAAACGCAGCAAATCCAACCTTACTAAAACTCATACTCTCTGGATCTCTCTCTTCAAATTTTTTTGGTCACATACACATATTTAGCAGATGGTATTGCGGGTGTAGCGAAATGCTTGTTGTCTTCAGGCCTACTCACTGGGGGGCTCCCAGTCGAATCACTCACCCTTGGGCTATCCTCTAATCTCTTCCCCCTAATTCGAACTCTGGCAATCTCAACCCTTCTCTCTCTCACAGGGCACTTTGGATCCCCAGCTGCATGGGCGCCTCCACAGTTGTCACTCTGTGCTTTCTCTATCCCAACTTTACACTCCCTCTGACTATGTCCTCCTGCACATTTCTCACATTGTGGGATCTCCCTTCTACACACTGCTGCAACATGTCCAAATCCTTGGCACCTAAAGCACCGTAGAGCGTTCGGAACATAGGCCCTCACAGAATAGCAAATATAACCTAACCTGATCAGGTAGAAACTCTATGTCAAAGCCCCTGGAGAGTCTGGCTGGCCCCTTGCTGTCTATGAGATTTCAGATGTATTCTCATATTACTCATTTGATTAAATATTTTCTTACAATTGGGGCACTGTGTCACGCCCTGGCTCTGGGGACTATGTTATGTTGAGCCAGGGTGTGTAAGTCTATGTTTTGTATATCTACATTTTACATTTACATTTTAGTCATTTAGCAGACGCTCTTATCCAGAGCGACTTACAGGAGCAATTAGGGTTAAGTGCCTTGCTCAAGGGCACATCGACAGATATTTCACCTAGTCGGCTCGGGGATTAGAACCAGCGACCTTTCGGTTACTGGCACAACGCTCTTAACCACTAAGCTACCTGCCGCCATATCTATGTTGGCCTGAGTGACTCCCAATCAGAGGCAACGAGTGTCAGCTGGTTGTCTCTGATTGGGAGCCATATTTAACTATCGGTCTTTTCACTTTGTGTTGTGGTTTCTTGTTCCTTTTGGTTTGTGTGTATCGAAGGACTTCACGTTTCGTTCGTTGTTTTGATCGGGTGATCTGTTTAATAAATAATATGTACGCATTCAACGCTGCGCATTGGTCCTCCTCCTTAAGCGAACGTGACAGAAGAAACCACCAAGACAGGACCAAGCAGCGTGAAGAGGAGAGTGGAGGGACCTGGGATCAGGGGAGTAGGAGTTTCGGCTGGGCCACGCTAAGTGAAGAGGAGAGAGGCTGGTCTATGAAGCAATGGATCGAGAGTCTGGCGAGAGCTAGGGAGGCCTGGTCCACGGGGAGGAGAGAACCCCAGAAATTTTTTAGGGGGGGGCTCACGACGTGGACGACGGGGCAGCAGGAGGCCGCGATGGAGCGGTCCAGCGGGTGTGAAGAGGAGGCCGCCAGGTTAAGGGGGCCACTGGTCACAGAGGAGAGGGAAAGTGTGGAGGCACGGCGAGAGGTACTGGGGTGTATTACCAGTCCGGTCCGGCCCGTTCCTGATCCCTGCATAGGGCCAGTGGCGTGTGTCCCCAGTACGGTTCGGCCTGTTCCTGCCTCTCGCACCGAGCCTGTGGTGCGCGTCGTCAGCCCTGTCCGGCCCGTTCCTGCTCTCCGTACCAAGTCGGTGGTGCGCGTCGCCAGCCCGGTCCGGCCCATTCCTGCTCTCCGCACCAAGTCTGTGGTGCGCGTCGCCAGCCCAGTCCGGCCCATCCAAGCTTCCCGCACCAAGCCAGTGGTGTGCGTCGTCAGTCCGGCACGGCCCGTGCCTGCTCTCCGCACCAAGTCTAGGGTGCGTTTCGTCAGCCCTGTCCGGCCCGTTCCTGCTCTCCGCACCAAGTCTGTGGTGCGCGTCGCCAGCCCAGTCCGGCCCATCCAAGCTCTCCGCACCAGGTCAGTGGTGCGCGTCGTCAGCCCGGTCCGGCTCATTCCTGCTCCCCGCACCAAGTCAGGGGTGCGCTTCGTCAGCCCGGTCCGGCCCGTTCCTCCTCCACGCATCAAGCCAGGGGTGTGCGTCGTCAGTCCAGCACAACCCGTGCCTGGGTCATGTCCGGAGCCGGATCCGCCGCCGAGGCGGAGTGCCCACCCGGTCCCTCCCCTGTTGTGGTTGTTTGGCGCGGCCGGAGTCCGCGCCTTTGGGGGGGGGTACTGTCACGCCCTGGCTCTGGGGACTATGTTATGTTGAGCCAGGGTGTGTAAGTCTATGTTTTGTATATCTATGTTGGCCTGAGTGACTCCCAATCAGAGGCAACGAGTGTCAGCTGGTTGTCTCTGATTGGGAGCCATATTTAACTATCGGTCTTTTCACTTTGTGTTGTGGTTTCTTGTTCCTTTTGGTTTGTGTGTATCGAAGGACTTCACGTTTCGTTCGTTGTTTTGATCGGGTGATCTGTTTAATAAATAATATGTACGCATTCAACGCTGCGCATTGGTCCTCCTCCTTAAGCGAACGTGACACACTGGTGAGGTTTCTTGCCAGTGTGAACATACATGTGTCTTTTAAGGCCATTTGAGGACATAAAACATATTGGACATTGAGTGCAGGAATAAGGACGCTTGCCTGTGTGACATCGCATATGAAGCGTAAGATTGCATGATGCTTTGAAACCCTTTCCACAGATTTCACAGATGTATGGGCATTCTCCTGTATGCAATCGTGTTTGCAGCCTCAGTTCTCCAGAGGCAAGGAATGCCTTTCCACATATGCTACATAAATAATTTCTCTCTCCTTTATGCATCCGCAGGTGTTTCATTAGTATTTGGTCTTGTGACCAACCGCGTCCCACAAACAGTGCAGCAGTGAGGACGCTCCCCAGTGTGTGTACACACATGCAGTTTGAGTGTAAAAGCACCTCTAAATCCCCTATCACAGTATGAGCAACAAGGGTTTTTTCTCCTGTGTGAATTCTCTGGTGTATTTCCAGACTGCTCTGCTTAGCATAACGTTTCTCACAATGGAATGGCAGTTTATGAGTTCTAAAATGTTGCTGTAGTTGATATGCAAATTTGAAAACCTTTCCACAGAGGGTGCAAATTGGAGTCCACTTGTTGAAGCCTCTTTTTGTCTTGCGCTGGGGAAGAGGGTTATCAGTTTCAGCTTCTTCAGAGACAAGACACTTGCTGTCCGTCCCTTGATGCTTGGTCCTGATGTGCTGGTGAAGTTCGGCCATTTTACTGTGAGAGAAGGGGCACATCGAGCAGGCAAGGAGCCGGGATGGCACGTCACCATTCATTCCTGTAGGGATGAAATACAAGAGAGCAGGTTACATAGGACATGATATACTAGGCCTTATTGGGCATCTTCCTTAATGAGCATTTGAAGAGCGATTTCAATTCTCTAATACTTCCTCACTCAAATATAACTTTATTAATCCAAGTACAACAGAAGTTGTTTGCTAAAACAGTACACACCCCACCGGGCAGCCCCAGTCTGCCATTTCAACAGCCTGACCCTGCTACTTTGTTTGGTGAGATGAGGGATGTGACTGGGGAAATGTAGCCACTTTCACATTCATTGATAGAGCTATGGATGCAAGTATTAATAGTATATGAGATTAGTATTATAGTTTTAAACAATTATTTTTAGCTATTAATTGGAAATAAGTATTTTGAAAAATCTGGAAGAAGAGTTCAATTTTCATAACTCATAACTCTAAATCGTCTTCCCGACTTGTCAGTTAAACTGTGAGTAAAAGACACCTCGAGTCACCACCAGTGTATCGCAGCTGTTGTGATGGCTGTAACTGAGCTATCTTTTGCACTCCATTTATCTTAATATACTTTAAATATTTTCAAATAAAAGTGGATGAATGTGTGACTGATTTAAATGTTCTTACCATCGCTGGGCCCTGGAATAACCGAAGTGGAGGACTCTGCAAGTGATAAGCCCTCCTCTTCCCGTTGCTCCAAGTTTGATAGTCCTATATCATCCAATCATCTAGCAGCGCCTTCATCCAGACTCTCATCACTTCTATCATTGTTGTCTTCATCTTCCCAGTCTGGATCACTCTGACTCTCTCCTATTTCTTCTTCCTCCTCTTCCTCCTCTCTGCCCCCATTAAGTTGTCCTTCTCTCTCTTCTCTGTTTCCTTCTCTCTCCGTTTCGTTCTGAATGCATTCATCTGCATTTGGGCATGCCCTCATATGGCCAGAGTTGTCCTGCTCAGAGCCAATGACAACTCTTATTTTTGGAGGGAAAGATAGCGTAGACAGGATGGTATCTGCAGTGAAATGAAAGGTATGACCTGGGAGAAAGAACACAGACCTGTATATTAAACTCTTTCTACGAAAACCTTCCTTCTGTCTAGGAAACAAGAACCAGTCCCCTACGGCTAGTTTATGGAGCTATTCCTTTATCTCTTGTGTTAAAACTGATTGGCTTGATAGACCATACACCTGGATTCCCAAGTTATTAGGACAGGTGGACAATGTGACTCTATAGTTGACCATGATAACCTGGATGGAGACACTTAATATTGTTCAGGTTTCCATGACGCCTATGGTGCTGCAGCAGTGTCTTCAGCTGTTCAACGTCCAAGACTCTCTGTCCACATTCCTCCAGGATAGAGGAGGCAGCACCGAGCCATTCTGTTGTCTGAGAGAAGCAGGCCAGTGGGTTTATAAGGTAATGAGAATTCAAATACATTGTGCCAGCCTCTTGATATATTATACATACCGGTAAGTGAAATTACCCAAAATCCTATTTGATTTACACACCATGTTCTATCTGTCTTTTAGAACTGAGAGGATGTACTAGTCTGTATCTATCTGTCTTTTAGAACTGAGAGGATGTACTAGTCTGTACCTATTTGTCTTTTAGAACTGAGAGGATGTACTAGTCTGTACCTATTTGTCTTTTAGAACTGAGAGGATGTACTAGTCTGTACCTATCTGTCTTTTAGAACTGAGAGGATGTACTAGTCTGTATCTATCTGTCTTTTAGAACTGAGAGGATGTACTAGTCTGTATCTATCTGTCTTTTAGAACTGAGAGGATGTACTAGTCTGTACCTGTCTGTCTTTTAGAACTGAGAGGATGTACTAGTCTGTATCTATCTGTCTTTTAGAACTGAGAGGATGTACTAGTCTGTACCTGTCTGTCTTTTAGAACTGAGAGGATGTACTAGTCTGTACCTATCTGTCTTTTAGAACTGAGAGGATGTACTAGTCTGTATCTATCTGTCTTTTAGAACTGAGAGGATGTACTAGTCTGTACCTATCTGTCTTTTAGAACTGAGAGGATGTACTAGTCTGTATCTATCTGTCTTTTAGAACTGAGAGGATGTACTAGTCTGTATCTATCTGTCTTTTAGAACTGAGAGGATGTACTAGTCTGTATCTATCTGTCTTTTAGAACTGAGAGGATGTACTAGTCTGTATCTATCTGTCTTTTAGAACTGAGAGGATGTACTAGTCTGTACCTATCTGTCTTTTAGAACTGAGAGGATGTACTAGTCTGTACCTATCTGTCTTTTAGAACTGAGAGGATGTACTAGTCTGTATCTATCTGTCTTTTAGAACTGAGAGGATGTACTAGTCTGTATCTATCTGTCTTTTAGAACTGAGAGGATGTACTAGTCTGTACCTATCTGTCTTTTAGAACTGAGAGGATGTACTAGTCTGTATCTATCTGTCTTTTAGAACTGAGAGGATGTACTAGTCTGTACCTGTGTGAAGTCTGGTACAGGCAGCAGCTCCTCCAATCTGGACAGGAACTCCCACATGAGTATCTGCAGTGCTGTGTCATACCGAGGGCCGTAGTGTACTGGAAACACCTCCTGTGAAATATATCATTTAGCACACAATAAGGGTTTCCTGCAAAACCTTCATCCAAAATCTTTAGGTTGATTTATCAGGCAAAATAGATTGTATTATAGCCTATTAAATTATGTTTAACTAGTATTTCAGAAAAAGATCAGTAAAATAATCATAAAGGAGAGAGAGAAGGTTCCTCACCTGGATGAAGTGTTCCTTCTCAGACTGGTCTTCCAGCAGGGTTTGGACCAGCTCCACAGAGTTAGACTCTGCAGCCTCCCTCTCGTCATCACTACAGGGCCTAAATATCCAGGGTCTTATTCTGGTGACATGATGATCGATGCTTGGCTTCCGTCTGACAAATAAAAATTATCTTGCTCTTTTGTCCATAATAATCTCATTATGTAGGCTGTTGCCGGTTTCACGTGCTAATCGGGACTAGGAAACTCTGAAACTTCTGACATGCCTACTGGTTGAACGCATGGGCGGTGTGTTCAATAGGGCGATATGGGCGACGCACTGCCAAACGGGAAAAGGAAGGGATTTTTTTTCTAATCAATTATATCATGGCAACAGTAGTTCAGTGTTCACGTCTGATCTGCCAGCCACTAAATGTCCAATCAGGCTAAAGTCGTGCTTCAAATGTCCCCGCCCGTTTTGGGGCGATTTCAGTCAGGTTGAAAATCGCCCAGAAGTCTCTCATAGCCTCTAATGTAAAATATTTTTTTTTCAAATTTCTGAGCTTTCAATACATTCTCTATGGGTGTCTGAGGGCTTGCACTTACGCGCTTTCGTCATACGTAACGTAACGTAACCATGAACGGCAGACAGCAACGCTTGGACAGCGACTGGTGTAACCGACATGCACCATCTTTCAGAAAAGATTAAGAAAAATGAGCTGTCAAAGACCCACATTGATAGCTGTTTGAGATTGTCTGCTTTGGTGAGAGTGAATATTGCCACTCAACTGGATGAGGGATACAGGCTAGCTGTCCGCCGCCACAACGATGAGGTTAGCAACAGCAGAGTCGTGAACACTGTCTACGAGAATCGAGACGACCTCATAGAATGTTTTGAAGCCATCCGGACGGGTTCATTGGGTTCATTTGACCAGCCCACCGTACCAGAAGCTACAGAATAAGGACATCGATGCTGTCTTTATCAAACGTGCCCTCGACAGCTTCGCAAGCAGTGTGCAGGCCATAAGGTAAGATAAAGATTAAACAATATCATTCGATCTTTCTCAAAGCAGAGCTTTATTTGAAAATGTATGCATGAAAGGAGACTGCATTTGTGTTTGAAATTACATTATTGTCATTATATATGGCCAGTGGTGTAATCTATCTTATTTTATATACTATGTGTACTGTACAGTGGTGCTCATAAGTGTATGAACACATTCTAAAGCTGACTAAAAAGAGGAATAAAAAAATAAAAAAATCTGTTCATGTTCATTTTTACAAATCTATACAATTGGCCAGAATATGGTTGTTCATATTTACAAATCTATACAATTGGCCAGAATATGGTTGTTCATTTTTACAAAGCCATACATATTGTTTATGCAGTGTTGAGGAATGTGAAAGAACACCCTTGATTATTTTTACTGTGATAACTTATTTTGCTTTTGTAAGCCAACACTTTTGAGATCAGTCAATAAATGCTTCTGGTATTGACTTATATGCTGCCCCTGTCTTCATGTTGTTGCTGGACATATCTTTTTAAAAATGTGTGTAGGTCACCTAAATCATCAGAAAAATTGCCCCTCCTTAGAATTTTTTCAGGAGCCGCCACTGGTTGAACGCGGCAAGCGTATAACTACAACCAGTTAGCAAGTCAGAAATGTCCGTTTCCTAGTTCTGACTAGCACGTGAAGAAAATATATATATGGGGGATTGGAAATGATGCATACCATTACATTGATGGAGTCCACAATCTATCTGCAATATTTAAGCTGATCTATCCCCTAACAAAAAATAATAATAAAAAATGTATGTTAACGATTCTGACTTCTACTTTATTCTTTACAGATGCTTAGTGGCGGACAGAACTGTAGCCTGGCATCCTTGAGCAACCAAACCTGAATTATTCAATCCTATACTTATGAACAATACTTACAATACCAACTGAGTCCCGTGTGGCTTAGTTGGTAGAGCATGGCGCTTGCAATGCCAAGGTTGCGGGTTTAATTCCCATGGGTGACCAGTACAAAAATTTACAAAGTATGCACTCCCTTACTGTAACTCACTCTGGATATGATGTGTTTTTAATGTGTCCCTCGCTATCAAATAAGCATTTAAAACCCGTTTTTATCCAGGGTCTTCCATTTTACAGCTGTAGAACGTGGTAGATTACGGTAGCTAACTGTCGCGTGACTGTGTGGTCTAGAATGGCAGCCTACAACCTGAAAATGGTAGACGTAGATAAAAACTGGTTTTAAACTCTTATTTGATTGCGAGGGACACATTCAAACAGACGTATCGTAAGTAATGTCCCTAGAGATCATGGATATGTCTTTGTTGACGGGAAACTTTTTGGGGGGTGAAACCAAATAGTTTAGGTTTGGTTGATCAAGGACACCTAGCTACAGTTTTTTTCCGCAGGTAGCCTAGTGGTTAAGAGCGTTGGGCCAGTAACCGAAAGGTAGTTGGTTAGAATCCCCGAGCCGACTAGGTGAAAAATCTGTCGCTGTACCCTTGAGCAAGGCACTTAACCCTAATTGCTCCTGTAAGTCGCTCTGGATAAGCGCATATGCTAAATTACTAAAATGTAAATGTGAATGCATCTGTAAACAATAAAGTAAAAGTCAGAATTGTTCATATAAATGTAAACATACAGTGCATTCGGAAAGTATTCAGACCCCTTCCCTTTTTCCTCATTGAGTTACGTTACAGCCTTATTCTTAAATGGATTAAATAAAACATTTCCCTCATCAATCTACACACAATACCCCATAATGACAAAGCGAAAACAGGTTTTTAGACATTTTTGCAAAGGTATTACAAATAAAAAACAGAAATAAGTATTCAGATCCTTTGCTATGAGACTCAAAATTGAGCTCAGGTGCATCCTGTTTCCATTGATCATCCTTGAGGTCTTTCTACAACTTGATTGGAGTCCACCTGTGGTAAATTCAATTGATTGGACATTATTTGGAAAGGCACACACCTGTCTATATAAGGTCCCACAGTTGACAGTGCATGTCAGAGCAAAAACCAGAGAGCTCCGAGACAGGATTGTGTCGAGGCACAACGGCCTCCACCAAGAACACAGTGGCCTCCATCATTCTATGTTTTTTATTTATTTTACCCCTTTCTCATGGTATCCAATTGGTAGTTACAGTCTTGTCCCATTGGTGCAACTACCGTACGGACTAGGGAGAGGCGAAGGTCGAGAGCCGTGTGTCCTCCGAAACACAACCCAGCCGAGCCGCACCGCACCAATGTGCGGAGTAAACACCGTACACCTGGCAACCGTGTCAGTGTGCACTGCGCCCGTCCTGCCACAGGAGTCGCTAATATGTGCGATGGGACAAGAATGCCCCTGCTGGCCAAGCCCTCCCCTAACCTGGACGACGCTGGGCCAATTGTGCGCCGCCCCATGGGTCTCCCGGTCGTGGTCGGCTGCGACAGCGCCTGGACTCAAACCAGGATCTCTAGTGGCACAGCTAGCACTGCGATGCAGTGCCTTAGACCACTGTGCCACTTGGGAGGCCTGGCCTCCATCATTCTTAAATGGAAGATGTTCGGGACGTTTAGAACCACCAAGACTCTTCCTAGAGCTGAGCAATCGGGGGAGAAGGGCGTTGGTCAGGGAGGTGACCAAGAACCCGATGGTCACTCTGATAGAGCTCCAGAATTCCTCTGTGGAGATGGAAGAACCTTCCAGAAGGACAACCATCCCTACGGTGAAGCATGGTGGTGGCAACATCATGCTGTGGGGATGATTTTCAGCAGCAGGGACTGGGAGACTAGTCAGGATCGAGGGAACGATGAACCTGACAGAGCTTGAGAGGATCTGTAGAGAAGAATGGGAGAAACTCCCAAAATACAGGTGTGCCAAGCTTGTAGCGTCATACCCAAGAAGACTCAAGGCTGTAATTGCTGCCAAAGGTGCTTCAACAAAGTGCTGAGTAAAGGGTCTGAATACTTACAGTGCCTTGCAAAAGTATTCATCCCCCTTGGCGTTTTTCCTATTTTGTTGCATTACAACCTGTAATTTAAATGGATTTTTATTTGGATTTCATGTAATGGACATACACAAAATAGTCCTAATTGGTGAAGTGAAATGAAAAACATAACTTGTTTGAAAAAATTCAAAAAAATAAGTAACGGAAAATCGGTGTGTGCATATGTATCCCCCCCCCCCCCTTTTGCTATGAAGCCCCTAAATAATAATAATAATATGCCATTTAGCAGACGCTTTTATCCAAAGCGACTTACAGTTATGCGCGCATACATTTATTTTTTTGTGTATGTAAATAAGATCTGGTGCAACCAATTACCTTCAGAAGTCACATAATTAGTTAAATAAAGTCCACCTGTGTGCAATCTAAGTGTCACATGATCTGTCACATGATCTCAGTATATAGACACCTGTTCTGAAAGGCCCCAGAGTCTGCAACATCACTAAGCAAGGGGCACCACCAAGCAAGCAGCACCATGAAGACCAAGGAGCTCTCCAAACAGTTCAGGCACAAAGTTGTGGAGAAGTACAGATCAGGGTTGGGTTATAAATAAATATACGAAACTTTGAACATCCCACGGAGCACCATTAAATCCATGATTAAAAAATTGAAATAATACGGCACCACAACAAACCTGCCAAGAGAGGGCCACCCACCAAAACTCACGGACCAGGCAAGGAGGGCATTAATCAGAGGTAAGAAAGAGACCAAAGATAACCCTGAAGGAGCTGCAAAGCTCCACAGGGGAGATTGGAGTATCTGTCCATAGGACCACTTTAAGCCGTACACTCCACAGAGCTGGGCTTTACGGAAGAGTGGCCAGAAAAAAGCCATTACTTAAAGAAAAAACTAAGCAAACACGTTTGGTGTTCGCCAAAAGGCATGTGGGAGACTCCCCAAACATATGGAAGAAGGTACTCTGGTCAGATGAGACTAATATTGAGCTTCTTGGCCATCAAGGAAAACGCTAGCGCAAACCCAACACCTCTCATCACCCCGAGAACACCATCCCCACAGTGAAGCATGGTGGTGGCAGCATCATGCTGTGGGGATGTTTTTCCATCGGCAGAGACTGGGAAACTGGTCAGAATTGAAGGAATGATGGATGGCGCTAAATACAGGGAAATTCTTGAGGGAAACCTGTTTCAGTCTTCCAGAGATTTGAGACTGGGACAGAGGTTCACCTTCCAGCAGGACAATGACCCTAAGCATACTGCTAAAGCAACACTCAAGTGGGTTAAGGGGAAACATTTAAAAGTCTTGGAATGGCCTAGTCAAAGCCCAGACCTCAATCCAATTGAGAATCTGTGGTATGACTTAAAGGTAGCTGTACACCAGCGGAACCCATCCAACTTGAAGGAGCTGGAGCAGTTTTGCCTTGAAGAATCAGCAAAAATCCCAGTGGCTAGATGTGCCAAGCTTATAGAGACTTGCATCTGTAATTTCTGCAAAACCTGTTTTTGCTTTGTCATTGTGGGGTATTGTGTGTAGATTGATGAGGGGGGAAAAAACAATTTAATCCATTTTAGAATAAGGCTGTAATGTAACAAAATGTGGAAAAAGTCAAGGGGTCTGAATCCTCTAAATGCACTGTAAATGCCTAGTTGCAGGACAAAGCTTGTGGCTGCCTATCCTTCGATGGTATGACTGTTTCCGACCCTCAACATTTCCACCTCTCTCACCCTTGCTGTCAGTCCCAGGATGAGTTGGGTCCTCTGCCTTTTACTCAGCAGCTCTGGAACCAGCTCTGTCACCAAAGTCACAAACTCCTCCAGCTTCCCATACTGCATCACATTACTCCGCTGAGCCACTTGCCGCAAAGGCGGACATCAGGCGAAGGGGAGACACCAGGAGACGCAAAGAGGATGTAGGGAGACCTGTCACAGAAATAAATAGAGCAATATTAAACAATTCATGAACGTCAATGCAATTGATTCAATAACTTGCTCTGGTCCAGGCGCATGCGTCGGATACGTATGCAGCTCGTAGTACAAAATCCGACGCATACGCATGAACCAGAGCTTGAATTTAAGAAAAATGACACCAAAGATTATCTACAGTGAGCTCAACTCCAAAGGTATTGGGACAGTGACATATTTGTTGTTGTTTTGGCTCAGTACTCCAGCACTGGATTTGAAATTATACAATGACTATGAGGTTAAAGTGCAGACTGGGGTATTTTCATCCATATCGGGTAAACCGGTTAGAAATGTTTGTACATAGTCCCCCCATTTTAGATGACCAAGAGTATTGGGACAAATTCACTTATATGTGTATTAAAGTAGTCAAAAGTTAAGTATTTGGTCCCATATTCCTAGTACGCAATAACTACGTCAAGCATGTAACTCTACACATTTGTTGGATGCATTTGCTGTTTGTTTTGGTTGTGTTTCAGATTATTTTGTGCCCAATAGAAATGACCTGCCACTGGCATTAAACAAAGCATGTGTGTCCATGTATGCTGATGATTCAACCATATACGAATCAGCAACCACAGCTAATGAAGTCACTGAAACCCTTAACAAAGAGATGCAGTCTGTTTTGGAATGGGTGGCCACAAATAAACTGGTCCTGAACATCTCTAAAACTAAGAGCATTGTATTTGGTACAAATCACTCCCTAAGTTCTAGACCTCAGCTGAATCAGGTAATGAATGGTGTGGCTGTTGAACAAGTTGAGGAGACTAAATTACTTGGCGTTACCTTAGATTGTAAACTATCATGGTCAAAACATATAGATTCAATAGTTGTAATGATGGGGAGAGGTCTGTCCGTAATAAAGAGATGCTCTGCTTTTTTGACACCACACTCCAAAAAGCAAGTTCTGCAGGCTCTAGTTTTGTCTAATCTTGATTATTGTCCAGTCGTGTGGTCCAGTGCTGCAAGGAAAGACCTAGTTAAGCTGCAGCTGGCCCAAAACAGAGCAGCAAGTCTTGCTGTTCATTGTAATCAGAGGGCTGATATAAATACTATGCATGCCAGTCTCTCTTGGCTAAGAGTTGAGGAGAGACTGATTGCATCACTTCTTTTTATAAGAAACATTAATGTTGAAAATCCCAAATTGTTTGCATAGTCAATTTACACACAGCTCTGACACACATGTACCCCACCAGACATGCCACCAGGGGTCTTTTCACGGTCCCCAAATCCAGAACAAATTCAAGAAAGCGTACAGTATTATATAGAGCCATTATTGCATGGAACTCCGTTCCATCTCATATTGCTCAAATAAACAGCAAACCTGCTTTCAAAAAACAGATAAAGCAACACCTCACGGCACAACGCCTCTCCCCTATTTGACCTAGATAGTTTGTGTATATGTATTGATATGTAGGCTACTGTATGCCTTTAAAAAAATTTTAAATGTTCTGTATTATGTAATGTTTCATGTTTTGTGTGGACCCCAGGTTGAGTAGCTGCTGCTTTTGCAACAGCTAATGGGGATCCTAATAAAATACCAAATGGTAAATAATGTATTGTGTCATTTTGGAGTCACTTTTATTGTAAATAAGAATAGAATATGTTTCTTAACACTTATACATTAATGTGGATGCTACTATGATTATGGATAATCCTCAATGAATCGTGAACAATAATGAGTTAGAGGTTAGCATGTCTTGGGGGTATGATATTTGTGCGTGTGTAATTGTACAAAAAGTGCTGTAATTTCTAAAATATTCACCCGATATGGATCAAAATACACTCAAATTAAAGCTGACAGTTTGCACTTTAACCTCATAGTCATTGTATCATTTAAAATCCAAAGTGCTGTAGGCTTGTTCATTTAGCAGACAAGATATGCTTATAAGTCCCATGCCATTATTTTATATTATATGATTTTATAGTAAGAAGATTATAATTGAATTAGCCTGAATAAAATAGAAAGGATATTTTTCTCATTCGGAGCTAGTGCCCATATGAAGTGGATATGTTGAAACAGGTCCTATATGCTAGTTATTTGGCAACTTTAGTTGTGAATGATACAAACCTTAGAATGCCTTAGAAATCAAAAGATATATGGGCTACATGATGCGACTATAGACTATTGATGATTTGAGAAAGTCGCAAAAAAAGATGGCGCACTGTTCCTTGCCTCAGGCTGCACAGCTGTTCTCTCCAGCTCCCATCAAATGATCATTATTTCACCCATCAGACTATTCTCAATTTAATCTTGTCTTTACTAATATGTAACATTCGTTTAGATTTAGAATGGCCCATTATCAAATGGGCAGGAACAGGGGCATGAGTATGCACTCCAATAGCGAATGGAGTCTGCAGGTTCATACGATGTCGGGTAGGCTACTCCGATTATTTTGCCGCGCAACAGGTGATATTCCGCACAAACTCTGTACATAATGGGATCTCCAAACCTGTTCCTGCATCTACCCAGTGCTTAATTTGGGAAACCAAGTGAAATCTGTTCGGGAACATCGATAGTTACATGTTTTCCCAACGAAACGTATTTCATTAAACTGTTGACAGCCCCTCTCTCTGCGCGCTGGAGAAAGGAATGAAGGAGAGAGGGAAGGACATGGAAACGCTGTGGTGAGATATTCTGTAGCTAAAGGTAATGTGTCAGCATATTCATTATGATAATATAAAAAATACCCTATTACTAGGCTATTCAAAATCAAATACAAATTCACTATAATGTAGTCTAACTCTGAATTTGTTTAATATAGGCTAGACCAATTATGTACCAAAGATCTCTAAAAATCAGGGGTTTTTTTCTGCCTTTGTAATATGCGGGTAGGCTATGTATTGTATAAAGGCACAATCATTATTTTAATTCCGTTTTTTTTCTTCGGGCTTGGGCTCACATATAGTCCTATGTCTATGTATAATTCTCTAATATGCATATGTATGTTTTGAATTAACCATCACCTTATAAAGCACTGTCCATTTCGTTGTGTTAGGCTTTGAAACAACATCCACAAGACCATGTTTTCCACTCAGTTTCAACCTGTTGTTGAACTTCTTTCTTCAAATTGAGTTTTAAAAGCACATACTGTTTGATGTGAATTTCGATTTCATTTGCATTGATGTCAGAGTGGTTAGAGGGACAGTAGAGCCCTGAGTACCAGGCCATATGCGACCTGATGATAGTTAGCGAGTTGGGTACTACTAACACATGTCCAGAGTTCATAAGAGGAGAGGAGGAGATCACACACACACACACACACACACACACACACACACACACACACACACACACACACACACACACACACACACATACACACACACACACACACACACAGACACACTAAAAAGCACATGTTCCTATTATTAACTCAGGGAGAATAAGGCCTGTCCCCATTCTACCCTGGTATAGAGTTTCTATCCACCTCTGTGATATGGTAGATGTCTTAGTGTTCGTGACCATCTGAAAACATTCGGTGAGGTTATTATCTAATCTTCTTTGCCACTGCATTAAGGCAGCAGAGGAGTTCCTCAGGCAATACTAATGTCAATAATCCACCTTCTACTGTACCTAACAGGTACCTAGGGTTAGTGTGCCAACACGGTAAATAACAGAGTCAGGGATTATCTGTGGTTACTACTGTGTAATGGCGGTGTTACTAAGGGCCCAGGACTGTGGTACTGTACATGCTTACATTGTGGTAGTTCAAACATCAGTTAGGGAAACATGTCTGCAGCAGATCCATCAGCTCACAGCAGCTCCCCCAGAGAAAGACCTGTTAGCATCCAGACATCAACACAGGATAAAGATAATAATATATATACATGCCATTTATATAGGCCAGATGTACAGTAGGGTTTGTGTGTGTGAATGTGTGTGCACAACAGTGTTGCGTATCTGTGAAGGAGGAATCTGTTAAGACAGAGGAAGCCTCTTCTGACATTTTACATTTTAGTCATTTAGCAGACGCTCTTATCCAGAGCGACTTACAGGAGCAATTAGGGTTAAGTGCCTTGCTTAAGGGCACATCGACAGATTTTTCACCTAGTCGGCTCGGGGATTAGAACCAGCGACCTTTCGGTTACTGGCACAACGCTCTTACCCACTAAGCTACCTGCCGCCCCGACATCTCATCCATATTACATCACCAGCAGGCTCCTGCTACACATAAATAAGGCATTGCTGGAGACTCTGGTGCAGCTCAATAGCAAACAGGCATGAATGTTTTATAAGCAAAGTTAAACTGTGAGCTGTAACTGTGGGGAATTGGACCCCCAGCTTTCCTGTCTTTAACAGACACATCAACTGTCAGATAACTGACTTCAAGAGACTGTTACATCAGAGCCATCTTGTTTCTGTTCAAACATCAGCTGCACTCCAGCTGGAGATCTACAATACATGCTCCTGGGTGCTACACTGGGCTCTGTAATCGTAGTATTGATTAGATGCTCTTGCTTTCTAGTGGCCTAAATGAATAAGGAGGCCTTGTTTTCATTCAAAGATATCTGCGTGTAAATCTTCAGTTTACATCAATCAGTAGAGGACTTGCAGGTTGGGATTCTGCCATGAATCTCTATGGTGCCACAGAATACCTCACACCATGTTACTAGGAGCCTTTCTATCCGACTATTTCTCAATGAACACAATCTCAGTGTCACCCGAGTGTGTGAAAGGAGGGCCATTGCATGCGTGCAGCCGCATCCCATATAGATTTTTTTTCTTGAAGGTTGTGATTGAAAAGCGGATTACAGTTTTTTTACGATTGCTTACACATTAAAATTAAACTTTTCCCACAATTAGCAAAACCTTACACTCAAGGAGCAAAACACAAGGCTAGATTTGCACAACTGTAAGCACATTGTCAGCT